AGGCCCTCTCACACCACACTCTCCCCTATAATGAACTCTTTAGAAAGGAGCTTCTAAGTGGTTCTGCTTCCTCAGTTGTGTTTAATCTCCAAGCCAGAAGCTGAAGGTGATTACTTTCACGAAACGATTGGACAGAGATATGGGAGCCATAGTACAGTGGATAGGATGCTCGCAGACAGCTGACTTCGGTTGCACGCCCAACATCTTATATGGTCCTCTGATCATCGCCAGGAATGATTCCTAAGGGCAGAGCCAGGAGTAACCCCTGAGCATCCTCGGGTATGGCCCCCAAACCAGAAACGGTTATTGTATATGATCAAGTTGCGACCAGCCTGAGACGCTAGGGCTGCTTCATCAGGGAAGCGCAATGGCACCACCTGCTGGTCAGTGAAGGGAGTACATCTTGCTGAATCCAAGCACTGTCCCCCTTCCTCCTTCCTTCTCTCTCCCTCCCTTTCTTTTTCTCTCCTTCCTTTCTCCCTCTATTTCCTTCTTCCTCTTCCCTTTCTTCCTTTCTCCCTCCTTCCTTCCTCTCTTCTTTTCGCTCTCCTTCCTTTCTTTCCTTCCTTTCCCTCTTTCTCCTTTCTTCTTTCCATGGGCTTAGCACTGTAGCACTGTCCTCCAGTTGTTCATTAATTTGCTCAAGCGGGCACCAGTAATGTCTCCATTGTGAGACTTGTTACTGTTTTTGGCATATTGAATACATCACGGGGAGCTTGCCAGGCTCTGCCGTGCGGGCGAGATACTCTCGGTAGCTTGCCGGGCTCTCCGAGAGGGACGGAGGAATCGAACCTGGGTTGGCCGCGTGCAAGGCAAACGACCTACCCGCTGTGCTACCGCTCCGGCCCATGGGCTTAGGGAACCGTATATAGTGCCAGGAACTGAACCTAGATCAGATTCCTGCAAGGCAAGTGCCTTATGTACTATCTCTGGCAGGGTTTGCATTTTCAATTTTTTTTTTCTTTTTGGGTGAGCGCCAGGCTGGAGCGATAGCAGAGCGGGTAGGGCGTTTGCCTTGCACACGGCCGACCCAGGTTCGATTCCTCCGCCCCTCTTGAAGAGCATATTTGATATGCCAAACACAGTAACAAGTCTCACGATGGAGACATTACTGGGTCCGCTCGAGCAAATCGATGAACAACGGGAGGACAGTTCTACAGTGCAGTGCTGCTTTTTGGGTCACACTCGGCGATGCATAGGGGTTACTCCTGTCTCTCTCTGCACTCGGGAATTACTCTTGGTGGTGCTCGGGGGACCATATGGAATGCTGGGAATCGAACCCCGGTCGGCTGAGTGCAAGGCAAATGTCCTACCCGCTGTGTTATTGCTCCAGCTCCAGGGTTTGCATTTTCAAAGGTCAAGTCAGTAATGTATACACAAAGGACTCACTGGAGGGGACAGAGCGGAGGAAGCAGGGACAGCAGGCGGAGGCTGTTTCGTCACAGCAGAGAATTTAGTCTAGATCTCTTGCTTGACTTCCCCTCCTCCGGTTTGGAATTCTGCCTTTTGCACCCAGGGGGGGAAAAAGGGCGACTTTCGCGTCCCTCTCAGCTGAGTACTGTGAAAGAAACACAATCCTAGGATCGGTTTCACGATGCCGTGATTTCTGCTTTCTGGAACTTATCTTCTGCGTCATTCCCTTTCCGTGTATGCTGGCCATGAATGACCTGTTTGGCCACTGAGATGGTTCACATGGCTGAAACACAGTTTGCATGGAGGAACCCTGAAATGACCCCAGCTCTGCCTGGTTTCCCTTGCAGCAGTCCTGGAGCCCCACCAGGTGGGTCCTTCCTCCCCCGCCACAAATAAAGGTCCGAGGTAACACTCGTTTCATGGGAACGTGTGCATCATCGAGAGCAGATAACAGGGGGCCAGAATGGAACGGTAGGACAGCGAGTAGGGCACTTGCCCTGCATGTGGCTGTCCTGGATTTGATCTCCAGCAGCCCATATGGAACTCTGAGCCTGCCAGGAGTGACCCCTGACCACAGAGTCAGGAGTAAGCCTTGAGCACTGCTGGGTGTGGCCTCCCAGCCCCTCCAAAAAAAAAAAAAAAAGACTAGGTAATATAGAAGCACATAAGGCTCAATCTTAAACATGTTACTAATCTCATCACTTGACTTCCCGTTAATCGTCGATTTGCTCGAGCGTGCGCCAGTAACGTCTCCATTTGTCCCTGTCGCGTGCTAGTGTAGCCCAATGGCATCTGTTCGCTCCGGGAACATGAAGGGCCTCAAACCGATCGTTCATGGTCTTGATCAAGAAGTCTGACTAATCTCTTATAGAAGGGGTTAATAGCTCCTGGGTGAAATACAACAATCTTCACACACTTTCCTCTAGGAAACCTTTTTTTGGGATCATTTTTAGCAGATTATTCACAACAAGCAATACAAAATAAATTATTTCGGTTCTGCTTTGGGGGCAGGGCTTGGGGCTTGGGATAGAAACATTCAAAATATGGTGACGGGAAGGTGTAATAATGGTGGGGTTGGTGTTCGAGTATTAAATGTAATCAAGGGGCTGGACCGATAGCATAGCGGGTAGGGCGTTTGCCTTGCACGCAGCCAACATGACCGACACAGGTTCGATTCCCAGCACCCCATATGGTCCCCCGAGCACCGCCAGGAGCAATTCCTGAGTGCATGAGCCAGGAGTAACCCCTGAGCATCGCCGGGTGTGACCCAAAAACCAAAAAAAAAAAAAAAAAAATGTAATCAAATACTGTGAACAACGTTATAAAAATGAAATTTAAAAAAATAGGGAGCGGCTGAAACAGTAATACAGCAGGTAGGGTGTTTGCTTTGTATGAGGCCAAACTGGCTTGGATCCCAGCACCCCATGTGGTTCTCTGGACACCGCCAGGAGTGATCCCTTCAGAGTCAGTAGTAATCCCTGAGCGTCGTCAGGTGTGGGCCCAAATCAAAAACAAAAAGAACTAGTGAAAAAAAAAATACCCTACCCAGATGTATCATTATTCTTCCGGTCAGAAACTGGTGAAAACCTGGGAAACTGTGGTTATCAGGACACTGCCTCATGCCTGTGTCCTCCTGTGAAGCTTGGGACGGAAGCATTGCTGGGTGACCATGCCAGGTTCCAGCCGACCGATGCTACACCCCGAAGCCATGGCCACTCACAAGGAGCGCAGCTTAGAGAACACGGCCACACAGGCCCAGGATGCCGTGAGGGTCTCACCCTCTGACGCTGTGGTTCCAAGGGTACCACCTCTCGCTCCTCTAACACGCTGAAAGCAGGGCTGCAAGTTGTGCTAATTAAGTCACATTCAGTGTGAGGTACTGGTGCTACGTGCCGGCATCAAGACGTCAGAACGAGGCGTGACTGGCTGCCTGATACTCCGGCGCAGTCACACTGCGGCTGGTTTCACTGATGCACACAGCACAAGGGAAGCCGCCTGCAAGAGCCCAGGCAGAATCAGCTTGGAGCGATTTGACCAAAACACCTTCGTGGAGGTCCTGAAAACTGCAGGCCAAATGTTTTAAAAAGGTTTTTTGTTTTGTTTTCAGGCCACACTCCACAAACAGTGCTCAGAGCTTTCTCCTTTGCTCAGGGATCAATCAAGGTCAGCAGCATGGAAAGCGCCTTAAGGCCCCTGCTTTCTCCCCGGCACCCAGATGGCTTACCTGAGGGAACGATAATCCACCTGCAGGCTTTTTGTATCTCACCTACTGTTCTTGTGTCTCTTCCTTAGTGTTTTTTGCTTTTTTTTTTTTTATTTGCCAAACCCACCGATGCTCAGCTCTCCTGACTGCACTCAGGAATTGCATCTGGGGCTGGAGTGATAGCACAGCGGGTAGGGCGCTTGCCTTGCACAAGGCCGACCTGGGTTCTATTCCCAGCATCCCATATGGTCCCCCAAGCACCGCCAGGAGTAATTCCTGAGTGCAGAACCAGGAGTAACCCCTGAGCATCGCTGGGTGTGACCCCCCCCCCAAAAAAAGGAATTGCATCTGGTGGCACTTGGGGGGCTGTACGGGACGCCAGGGATGGAACCCGAGAGGGCTGCGTGCAAGACAAATGCCCTACCCAATGGACTCTTCCTAGCCCTTCAAAATATTTTCAGGTAATCGCTGAAACGGATTTGTCCTGCTGCGGATGCTGAACTCAGGATGGGCAATTTGGCTCTTCAAGGAGCCAAGAATGAATTCTACAATGACTGGCTGCAGCCTGCCACATCTCTCCTACACCTATGAATGACATTGAATGACCCTCCCCAAATCTGGCCCCTTCCACTGCCTCACATTTTCTAGTCCCTAGGGCAGGCTGGACCCAACCAAGAGCTGCAGAAACATCAGATTGCGGTGGTTGGAGTGATAGTGTAGTGGGTAGGGCGTTGGCCTTGCATGCTGCCGACCTGAGTTCGATCCCTGGCATCCGTTATGGTCCCCCACGTACCACCAGGAATAATTCCTGAGCAGAGTCAGGAGTAACCCGAGCTCACAGGGTATGGTCCCAAAACAAAGCCAAGAAAATAAAACACCAGATCACAGTTCCTTCTTGTGTGTGTGTGTGTGGTGGCACTCCCCCCAACTCCCTTCCCCTCCCCCGCCTCGAATAGGACATGCACTCAGATGTGATGCCTCAGTCGTCCGATCTTGCCTCTGCTCCCTCTTTCCTTTCTCCAGGGGAAGCTGAAACTGCAGCTGCATGAAATGTTAGAGAGCCTCCGCTCCAATCTTTTTGCGTATTTTTTTTGGGGGGATGGCGGGGCGACACTTGGCTGTACTCAGGGATCACTGCTGATGAGGCTCGGTGGACCGCAAGGGATGTTGGGGATCAAACCCAGGTCAGTTGTGTGCAAGGCAAGTATTCTGCCTGTGGTACACTCTCCTGTCTCAAGAAGTCTCAGCCCCGATCTTAAAACACCTTCAACTTAAAAAAAAACAACAAAAAACACTACTGAAACAGCATCCTCTGGAAGGGGACTTGCCAACCTTTAGGAGAGGGAGAAGGAAGTCCTTTTTCTCTACTACTCGGGCCTAGGGGAAGAGATGCAATAAAGGAATGGACACTGGCCAGCACTCAGTGACGGGGGAATTCCGGTGCCCCAGCGAGGGTCCCAAATGAGAGTGACTCATTTAGAATGGTGGCAACTCGTGTCTTCTTTCTTTTGTCTTGGTCAGCCTGCTTAGAGGTTCACTGCCTTTATTGATCTTTCGAAGACTGAAAACGAGCGGAAGGACGTGCCAACATTTTCGCAGGCTTCCGAGGAGCCCCCTCATCTCCCTGCCCTCGACCGTCGGGCAACGAGGAGGTGACCGCGCCCCCGGTCAGCAAGCAGTCAGTCCCTGGGGGCCGGGTCCTTAGCGTGTGAAGGCAGGGCCAGGGGCTGACTGAGCAACGTGTGTACCAGGCCCAGCCGGGCATCCTGCTTCTCAATGTCTTCGTAAGGCGTCCAGGACAGGTCGTGCTGCAGTTTGTAGGCACCAAGGAATTCGTGTGGGCAACTCATCCCCCATTCCTAGAGAAGCAAAAACATCCACTGGGGTCAGGGTCGGGCGGAAGTGACAGTCGGTTTCCCAATGAGGTCACAAATCTCCTCTGTGGCTTTTCACTACAGAGCGGTCAGAATCTCCTTGGAAAATGCCACTCTGGACAGCAGAAACTTCCTTAACAGAGATAAGGTCTGGGGAAGAATTTAAACATGAGTGTGTTTTGGGGGAAAGGGGAGCCGAATCAAACACAGGGACATTTATATGAGAGAGAGAGAGAGAGAGAGAGAGAGAGAGAGAGAGACAGAGAGAGGGAGAGAGAGAGAGAGAGAGAGAGAGGGAGAGAGAGAGAGAGAGAGAGAGAGAGATGCTTAAACTCCTCAACTACACCCTTGGTCCCAAACACCTGGAGGTTTTCCGGAGACATGCCTGGGCTCACACCACCTTCCAATTTCTAGGAGACCCTTTACCAAGCTTTGCGCCTACAGTTTTACAAAGCACACGCCAAGCATTCCTCTAAGACTTGAGGAGGTTTTCATGGGGAGGGGCAAAAAGTTCTTACCTTGGGAGAAATAATGGAAAAATACTGCTGGCCACTTTCCCGTTTGTAAAGGTAGTAAATGTTGCCGGGCTTTTTCACTATGTTACAAGCGGCGTGGTGCAAGTCAGCATCTCGCTGAGCGTCTTCCAAGACCTGCGCATCAGAGATGTCACAAATCAGGTCCTGAAGATAACAACTCAGATAGTCCGTGATTATCCCAACCAAAACCTGGCCAACATTCGATGCTTGGGATCTTGCTCTCCGCGTAGCAACGAGTCCCTGCTGGGAACCAAAGAGTCTTTAGCACTGCACTGTCCTCCCGTTGTTCATTGATTTGCTCGAGCGGGCACCAGAAACATCTCCATTGTGAGACTTCTCGTTACTGTTTTTGGCATATCGAATATGCCACGGGGAGCTTGCCAGGCTTTGCCGTGCGGGCGAGATACTCTCGGTAGCTTGCCGGGCTCTCCGACAGGGTCAGAGGAATCAAACCGGGGTCGGCTGCGTGTAAGGCAAATGCCCTACCCGCTGTGCTATTGCTCCAGTCCCAAAAGAGTCTAAAGATACACAAAAACTACACTCAGCTACTCTGTTGAAAAATGCTGTCTGAGTAACTATATCGTATTAGGAATGCGGAGACAACACAGCAGGTAAGGGGCCTGCCTTGCAAGCCAGGAGTAAGCACTGAGCTTACTGGGTATGCCTCCCTCCACACAAAAAAATTATATTTCAAATGTGAACCATCAGTGGTTTTGAATGGTTTTTCATTTTATTTTCTAGGGCCAGAGCAGGTAGGGCATTTGCCCTGCACACAGCTGACCTGGGTTAGATCATGGCATCCCATATAGTCCCCCGAGCACCGCCAGGAATAATTCCTGAGCACAGAGCCAGGAGTAACCGATGAGCATCGCTAAGTGTGGCCCAAAAACCAAAAAGTCAAAACCGCTGTTTTATCCCACTGAGATTTCTCCAAGTTAAACATTTTTTCCAATGTTCACATTTGAAGGAGGTACCGAAGACAGGTGAGTGATAATGTTCCTTAAAAAGTTCACGCAAACCTGAGAACTACAGAGAATAAAAAACCTAGGGTTGGGCTGGAGCGACAGCACAGCGGGTAGGGCGTTTGCCTTGCACGCAGCCAACATGGCCGACACAGGTTCGATTCCCAGCATCCCATATGGTCCCCTGAGCACTGCCAGGAGTGATTCCTGAGCGCATGAGCCAGGAGTAACCCCTGAGCATTGCCGGATGTGACCCAAAAAGAAAAAAAAAACCCAAAAAACAACCTAGGGTTGAAGAGATAGTTCAGCAGGTAAGGTGCTTGCCTTGTATGTGGCCAACCCAGGTTTGATGTCCAGTACAACAAGTGGTTCCCTGAGCCTGCCAGGTGTGGCCAGAAAACCAAAACCAAAACCAAAAACCTGGGGCTGGAGAGACAGAACAGTGGGGAGGGCACTTGCCTTGCATGTGGCTGACAGTTCAATCTCCAGCATCCCATATGTTCCCCCAAGGATCATCAGGAGTAACTGCTGAGTCTCCCTGCCTGCTTGGGGTCCTGATTGTAACACCCACGATCTGCCTCTGGGTACCATCCTAGCGCATTAACGGCCTGATCCAGAGACTCACAAATGAATCTCAAAATGGACTAACTCCCTATAGAGGCGTCTCTGGACCCCAGTCATTTACAATTTTAGAATTCCAGGAGCCTGAAAGCGGCCACATGACCTCTCTTGATATTCATAATAAGTAATAGAAAATAAAGTATCTACCATCTGCCCTTGGGCTGAAGTGATAGCACAGCGGGTAGGGTGTTTGCCTTGCAAGTGGCCAACATGGCCGACCCGAGTTCAATTCCTCCGCCCCTCTTGGAGAGCCTGGCGAGCTACCGAGAATATCTCGCCCACACGGCAAAGCCTGGCAAGCTACCCGTGGCGTATTCGATATGCCAAACACAGTAACAACTGTCACAATGGAGATGTTACTGGGCCCGCTCAAGCAAATCGATGAACAACGGGAGGACAGTGACAGTGAGAGCATCTGCCCTTGGCAGGTAGGCTTGAATGGTGGTGGGAGAATTTGAAATAATGGTTGTGGGAAGGCATAATGGTGGTAAGATTGGTGTTGGAATATTGAATGTCATCAATTAATGTGAACAACCTTATGAAAATAAAATTTAAAAGTTAAGGAAAAAAAAAGGAGAGGAGTAATCCCTGAGCACAGAGCCAGGAGTAACCCGAGCACCATCAGGTGTGGCCCCAAAACTAATTCCTCTCCGTTACAACCTGCCAAAGGCCCCGACTCACCCTCCTTGCTTGTTCTTGCAAATGCTGGATCTGCTCGGCGATGACAGTCAGCTTGTTGGTAGCATTTGCTCGGATGAACTCATCAGCCTACAGACGGGAGAAAGCAACAGTGGGTGAAGGGCCCGGGCTTCTGCGATGCTCCAGTCTGGTCCCCTGTCAAGAGTCGCGTCAGTCACTGTGCTGACACTGAGAACATCTGCCTCGTCCTCCCCACTGCCCCAGGAGCTCCCTCTTAGCCCCAGGCTGGCTCACCTGGCGCTGCTCACGGGAAGCCCGCCCTGACAGGATCCCGCACCGAGGAACAAAGGGCTCCTCCCTGTCTGCTCCCGGGGCTTGCCACCCTCTCACTCCCCAGCCCAGCCAGCGTGCCTCTCTCCAGTCACCAAATACACCGAATGCGTCTCTCCTCCAGCTAGCACCCACCTACCCCACTGCTTGGCTGACCCCTTGGGCCTCACGACACCGATTCTGTTGCCTAAGGTGTGAACAGTTCTGAAATCAGAAATGCATCTTTTTTTTTGTCTTTTCATTTTATTTATTTATTTTTTATTTATTGAATCACTGTGAGAACAGTCACAAAGCCTTTCAGTTTAAGTCTCGGTCGGTTATAGAATGATCAAACACCCATCCCTTCAACAGTGCACATTTTCCACCACCGAGAACCCCGGTATACCCCCCAACCCACCCTTCCCCATGCCTGTGTGGCAGATTTCCACTTTACCCTCTCTCTCCATTGATTACATTCAACATTAAGGCAAAAGACCCACCATTATTATTTGGAATTTTCCCCAACAACCAGACCTGCCAAAAATACATCACTAGATAATTTGTTTTCTATTGCTGGTTATGAAGAGCATATGATGTCACGTGGCCACTGTCGTGGCCACGGGATTTTGGATTTCTGATATTCTAGTAATAAGTCTGGAGGGATCACTGCCAAAAGCTGCTGGGTTCTGAGATTGGTTTGTGTGCTTCTGGGATCATGGTCATTCAGGAGCTGGAGGAGGCATTCAGGGGTGGCAACTTGGGGCCTTGTCAGGGTGGGGAGCAGGGCCGGTTCCACCCCCATCCCATGAGGCCCCGCATGCCTTGTCACTGCAGTATCATACCTGGTTGTCCATTAGGCTCTGAAAGATGGTGGCCACCATGCCACCGCTGCCGGGGGAAAGGCAGAGGGACAAACACCCTTCCCCTCCCTCGGTGGCACATCTCTGTAGTTTAATGCACAGTCCAGATGCATCAGAAAAGCATCTTAAAGAGGCCACTAGTGATAAGGTTCTTAACATCTGCAATGCAGGAATCGAGCTCGGACAGAAAAGGATCAGTTAACCTGACCATTACCTCAGCGGAATTATTTACATCATACTTCTATTTTAACCTAAAAAATGCATTTCTAATTGTTAGCTAAAATGTTTTTATTTATTGCAAGCTGATGCAATAAACTACACTGTAGCACTGTCTTCCCATTGTTCATCAGTTGCTCTAGAGGGCACCAGTAAAGGCTCACAATGTGAGACTTCTTGTTACTGTTTTTAGCATATTGAATACATCATGGGGAGCTTGCCAGGCTTTGCTGTGTGGGCGAGATACTCTCGGTAGCCATGCTCTCCGGTGGAGGAACTGAACCTGGGTCGGCCGCGTGCAAGGCCTTACCCACTATGCTATCGCTCCAGCACAATGCAATAAACAAAATAGAAAATTATTAATCAAATTATTTTCATTTGTTGCAAGATGATGCAATAAATAAAAATAAACAGGGGGGCAGAGAGACAGTACTGAAGTTAAGGAGTTTGCATTGCATGCTGACGGTCCGGGTTTGATCTCCAGAACCCCATATGGTCCCCTGATCACTGCCAGGAGTGACTCCTGAGTGCAGTCAGCAGTAATCCTTTAGTATCACTATGTGTGGCCCAAAAACATAAATAGATGGAAAGTGCACTGGAGCACAAAGGAAATTATTTTTTAAATTTAATTTTATTTTATTTTTTGCTTTTTGGGTCACACCCGGCGATGCACAGGGGTTACTCCTGGCTCTGCACTTAGAAATCACTCCTGGCGGTGCTCAGGGGACCATATGGGATGCTGGGAATCGAACCTGGGTTGGCTGCGTGCAAGGCAAACGCCCTACCGGCTGTGCTATCTCTCCAGCCCCTAAAGGAAATTACATTAAAAAAAATAAAATCAGGGGCTGGAGAGATAGTACAGCAGATAGGATGACTGCCTTGTCTGCAGCCGACCTGGGTTTAATCGCCAGCATCCCGTATGGTCCCCTAAGCACTGCCAGGAGTGATCCCTGAGCACAGAGCCTGAACACTATCAGGTGTGACCCCAAAACCAAAACAAAAAATCAAATAGGCCCCAGAGCAATAGGACAGCAAGCAGGGAGTCTGCCTTCCACACAGCTGACCCAGGTTTAATGTCCACAACCCCATCTGGTTCTGAGCCCACCAGGAGTGATCCCTGAGCTCAGAGTTATGAATAAACACTAGGCACAACCAGGTATGGCCCCAAAGCCAAACAAAAGAACAAAACAAAACAAAAACTAAAAACACAATCAGGGCCAGAGAGATAACTCTACAGGTTAGATACTTTCCCAGCTGACCGGGATCCAATCCCTGGCATCATGTAAGGTCTCCCAAGCCCCACCAGGATTAATTCTTGAGCACAGAGCCAAGAGTAAGTCCTGAGCACCACCAGATATGGCCTCAACCCCCCCAAAAATAGATAAAAGTAAAAACATGAAATCATTCTCAAAGCTAAGAAAACTGGGGTGACCCACTGACGTCTTCAGGTTTACCATTGACGCATTACAAATCTGCCAGACCAAAAGCTGATTTTAACTTCCAGGGGTATAAAATTACAAAAAAAGAAATGAAGAGATTAAACTTGAATAAAAAAAAAAAGTTAAAATAATTTGCTGGTTAGTAGAAGATACCTAGGGTAAAAATCAGGTGTAACGACGTCATGAGTTGCCCCCCACAAGTGGTTCTCTGGCACAGCCATAACACCAGACCCAGAGAAACCAATCTCATAATTATCGGGCTCTTGGCAGAAATCCAAAATCGTGAGGTCACTATTGCGGCCATGCGAGATTATATGATTCTCATAACCAGCTATAGAAAACAAAGTATATCACAATGCCTTTTCAGCAATTCTGATTGTTTGGGGGGGGGGGGGGAATTCTAAACAATAATGGTGCATCTTTTGTTGAAATAATGAATGTAATCAATGTAGAGAAGAGTTAAGTGGAAATCATCTGCCTCACAGGCATTGGGAGGAGTGGGGGGGGTATATTGGGGCTCTTGGTGGTGAAAAATGAGTACTGGTGAAGGGAGAGGTGTTTGATCATTGTCTGACCGAGACTTAAACCTGAAAGCTTAGTAACTTTTCCCACAGTGATTCAATAAATATAAGAAAAAAAATAAAATTATGAAAAAAAAAGTAAGGTGGAGTTCATGCCCAATTCAATCAGCTAATCAGAGGCTGAATAAATAGCAGTACTCCTACATTAAAAAAAAAAATCAGGTCTAAGCCAATGCTATGGGTAAAGAGAAAGAATTGAGTAAGCCAAGTCAAACATAATCGGTTCCACAAATACAAGTTAGCAACTACTGTGTCAAACAGTGTGCTGGACTTAGGCAAATGGGAGCAATCTCTACCCACGTCAAGATTATAGTCCAATCCTTCTCAGTACCAAGTTGCTTGGGTAATTAAAAAATTTTAGCAGCCATATTAAAACTAAATATGTAAAATAAATTGATATTTTATTTAACCCAATATATAAAAAAGGATAATTCCAAGATATAATCAAAATAAATATAATAAAACTATTAGCAAGTGGAGCGATAGTACAGTGGGTAGGGCATTTACCTTGCACACAGCCAACGCGAGTTCGATGCCTGGCATCAGATATGGACCCCCAAGCCCTGCCAGGAGTGATCCCTGAGTACAGAGCCAGAAGTAAATTTTATTATTTTATTTTTATTATTTATTTTTTTCGCGTCACACCTGGCAATGCACAGAGGTTATTCCTGGCTCATGCATTCAGGAATAACTCCTGGCAGTGCTCGGGGACCATATGGGATTCTGGGAATCGAATCCAGGTTGACCATGTGCAAGGCGAATGCCCTACCTGCTGTGCTATTGCTCCAGTCCCTTGCTTTTATTTTTTGAGGGTGGCACACCCAGAGGTGCTCAGGGATTGCTCCTGGTGGGCTCAGGGAACCATCTAGAGAGCGGAGATGGAACCCAGGTTGGCTACAAAAAAGGCAAGGACCCTACACACTGTACTATCTCCCTAGCCCATAACTTCACTCACTTTAATTTTATTTTGTTTTGGTTTTGGGGTCACACCTGTGCTCAGGGTTATTCCTGGTGGTACTTAGGCACTACCGTATGTAGTGCCAGGGACCCAACGGTCCGGTACAAGGAAGGCAAGTGTCTTAACATTATACTGGCTCGCTCACTCAAGTGCAGGGGTTTTCAGCTGCTGGTCCGGGTACCGGACCAGCAGGCCTAAGGTTGAAACACGTTTCTATTTGACTGGATTACAAGGTGAAGGACAAAAACCATGTTCCTTCTTTGTATCAGGTCATCGTACAAAAATGACAGTCACTCAGTAACCCATGGAATCATTTACGAAGACAGAGTCTGGCAGCCTCCCTTTCAGAGGGCGACTGATTAAACAGATACGTGACGTTCTCCTAATCTCAGAAAACTGTACTTTGCTCGGCCTTGCTACAAAGGAAAATGGACAAGGTTTGATTCAAAGATGCTTCTTAAGTATTCGAATGTTTGACTTTTTTTTTTTTGGCTTTTGGGCTACACCTGGCAGTGCTTAGGGCTAACTCCTTCCTGGTTCTGTGCTCAGGGATCACTCCTGGCAGTGCTCAGGGGTACATATGCAATGTTGGGGATTAAAGTGGGGTTATGGATGCAGCAGCTGCAGGCACGGCAAGTACCTTATCTTCTTTATTATTCTCTGGTTGCTGAATACATAATTTAAAAAATACATGTGTGTATACACATATATATACATATCATATATATGTATGAGAATTTAAGGATATTATTAAAGATTTTTCAGTAAAACAAGGACATCTGAACATAAAGGAGGTCCAAGATGAACAAGTCGGTTATTAAAGATTTTTCAGTAAAACAGGGACATCTGAACATACGGGAGGTCCAAGATGATTATGTATGAGAGGACATCAGAAGCTTCAAAACAGCTTAGCAGGGGTCTGCAGCTACATATACTGGAGCAAGTCTGAGTACAATAATATTAGAAGAAATTAGTTATTTTTTTTTTTTTGGCAGGCGGGCACACTTGCTGGAGCTTGGAGCTTACTCCTGGCTGTACTCAGGGATCACTTCTGATAGGCTCAGGGGACCATACAGCGTACCAGGGGTCAAAACCAGGTTGGCTGCCTGCAAAGCAAATGCCCTACCTGCTGTACTACAGATCTTAACTTGCGCTTCAAGCCCATGTCTCTCTTTCTCTCTCTTTTATTTTTTTTTGCTTTTTGGGTCACACCTGGCAATGCACAAGGGTTACTCCTGGCTCTGCACTCAGGAATTACCCCTGGCAGTGCTCAGGGAACCATATGGGATGCTGGGAATCGAACCCGGGTCTGCCGCGTGCAAGGCAAACGCCCTACCCGCTGTGCTATTGCTCCAGCCACCCGCCCATGTTCTCTCTTGAACACCTATCTTGCTTGCTGATCTATATATCTCTTTGCTTCCTTTTTCCACTCTGGAGAAGCCTGTGTTTTCTCTTGAAGATGTATTTTTCTCTTATTCTCCCCCTCACATCTTTCTAAGTAAATTTCATTCAATAAAAACTATCTTACTTAAAAAAGAAAAAGATATGAGATCATCTTAAGCTTTAGGTTTTAAACACTAGATAAAGACACTACGCTACTTTGACAGTACTTTGCCTAAAGACACAATGCAAGTTTTCCCAAGAGGGATAGAAACTCGTGATGTGTACAATGGAATATTTTAAGAAAAGATGAAATCATGCAATTTGCTGCGTTGGCTGGAACTGGAGAGTATCAGGTTGAGAAAAGTCAGTCAGAAGCAGAGAGACAGATACAGAATCATCTCTCAGATGTGGACATACAGAACCAATTGAGGGGGCTGGAGCGATAGCACAGTGGGTAGGGTGTTTGCCCTGCACGCAGCCAACCCAGGTTCGATCCCTGGAATCCCATATGGTTCACCCAAGCACTGCCAGGAGTAATTCCTGAGTGCAAAGCCAGGAGTAACCCCTGAGCATCGCCGGATGTGACCCAAAAAAAAGCAAAAAAAAAAAAAAAAGAGAACCAATTGAAGGGCACAACTGCCCAAAAGCAACACAACCTGAGAACAGGGTGTACAGAACGGACTTCAACACAGTGGAGGTACAAAGGGATGGGTAGGCTGAGGGAGGAGGAGGGCGCTGGTGGGGGGGTGCAGTGATGGAATGAGTACTGTAAGCATGAAACCCTATCAACAACGCTGCCAGTCACGGTGCCTCAAATAAAGATTAAAAATAAAAAAGCATTCGGGCGTGAATGTCCAGTGTTTTCATCATCATTTCCTCCTGATTTTACTTCTTGGACAATCAACGTTGAAGCACTAGGCTTGGGAATATTTTGTTTCCTGAACGAGGACACATAACCTCGGAGTCTTGCCTTCCTGGAGGATGTTTCCTTCACAGGCCCTCGGGGAGTTGGTACAGCAAGTGAACTAGGTATCCCTGCAGAATCTGGTGACCCCCTTTTCCCCCCAAGCTAGAACTTCTTCTCTTCCGGTGCCAGGTGGGAAGAAGATGCTGGGGGAGCGGGCACACCCGGCGATGCTCAGGGGTTACCCCTGGCTCATGCACTCAGGAATTGCTCCTGGCGGTGCTCAGGGGACCATATGGGGTGCCGGGAATCGAACCTGGGTCGGTCAGGTTGGCTGCGTGCAAGGCAAACGCCCTGCCCGCTGTGCTATCGCTCCAGCCCCTCAGGTGTCACTCCTGGCCGCACTCAGGAACCACTCCCGGTGGGAGACAATATGCTCCGTCCAAGGTGCATCCGGGGTCGGCTGCTTGCAAGGGAAGCGCCCTGCCCACTGTCCTGCCTCTCTGGCCCCAACGCACTTATCCGTTTCGGGTCACCCCGAGGGTGCTCAGGGATCCCTCGCGGATGGGCTCCGGGGGACCCTGCGGATGCCGGGATGGAGCCTGGGTCCATGCGAGGCGGGCAGCCCATCTGTCACTCCGGCCCAGTCCTGGCGGGAGCCGGCCCTGCCCGGCACTAGCTCTCGGGGCCGGGCGCCCCCAGGCCCAACGGACCCGGCGGTGCCAGCGCTGCTGCCAGCGCGCCCGCGCGGGGGGCCCCGGGGCGGGGGCCGGGCAGGGCGGCGTGCACGGACGCCCGCGGCCGCGCCTCCTCCTCACCTTCTGCACCTGCTCGGCGAGCGCCACGAGGTCTAAGGGGTCCCCGGCCCGGTGGGCGTGGTAGGGGCTGACCAGGGCCAGGCCGCAGGGGGTCGGCGTGAACTCCACCAGGGCGCCTGCGGTACACACCCGGGAACACAGGCCGTGAGCGCCCGCCCGCCCGCCGAGCCCCGGACTCCGGCTGCTCCACCCCCGCCCCGCGTATCTCCCCGACCTGGCGCCGCCGGCGCGCCCCGGCTCCCGGGGGTCGCCGCGTCCAGCGGGGACGCCGCAGCCTGGTCCATCGCAGGGGGCTTCTCCGACTCCCCACGGAGGCGGACGGCGGGCAGGAGCATGCGCACAAGGGGCGGCGGGCGGGGCCTCCGCCGTCCCCGTCTTATTGGACGTCAGCGTCCAATTGGATGTCTTGTTCGCTGTCCGGAGGCGGGGCGAAGGCCATGCAAATGAGGCGGCGCAGGCTTTCTGGGCCTGCGCCGGCCGCCGGAGGGGGCGTGGTCCACCGGGGGGGCGTGGCCTCTCCGGGGCGTGGCCTTCCCGGGGCGGGGTTTTGGCTCCAGCCTGGGCGGCGGTGGCCGGGCCGGCGGGGTCCCGTTAAGTCCGCGGGAGGCGCGATGGCCGCGCGCGCGCTGAGGCTGCTGGCCACGCTGCTGGCCGTGACCGCCGCGGCCGCGCAGGCGGAGGCGGAGGCCGAGGCGGGCTGGGAGCTGGGGGCGCCCGATCTGCTCTTCACCGAGGGCACCGCGGCCTACGCGCGCGGGGACTGGGCGGGCGTGGTGCTGGGCATGGAGCGCGCGCTGCGCTCGCGGGCCGCCCTGCGCGCCCTCCGCCGGCGCTGCCGTGGCCGCTGCGCCGCCGAGCTGCCGTGGGAGCCGGCGCCCGAGCCGCCGCCGCCGCCGCCGCCCCCCGGGCCGGCCGCGGGCGCCGCCGCCCTGCTGGACCTGCGCTTCTTCGGGCGCCTGCTGCGCCGCGCCGCCTGCCTGCGCCGCTGCCTGGGGCCGCCGGCCGCGCACGCGCTCGGCGAGGAGCTGGAGCTGGAGTTCCGCAAGCGCAGCCCCTACAACTACCTGCAGGTCGCCTACTTCAAGGTGCACGCCCGCCGGGCGCCCCAGGGCGTGGTCGGTTGCATGCGACCCGGGGGACGGGGCGCGCCGGGGTGGCGAGGGGCGCGCGGTGCTCCGGGGAAGCGTGGCCCGCTGCCCGCTGGGGGCCAGCTCCCGCCGGACCCCGGGCGAGCAGGGACCGGTCCCCGAGACCCGCTTCGGCCGCCTCCCTGGGGCGAATGATGACACCCAGGGTGCTGCCGCCTCGAGTGGCATCATTCGCGGCGTCGACCGTGCAGCTCTCGGATGGCCCGTTCCCGTCGCCGGGGGAGGGGGTTGGGGAGCGTCTCCAGGGCAGCCCGGTGGCAGGGTCTTGCCTGCTGAGCGCATCCTTCCCGAGTGGGAAGCTGGAATCGGCCCGCGCAGGCCCCTCTCTGCTTCCTTTTCCAAAGAGAGTTCTCGGGTTGCCCGCGCGCAGCTGGCTCTCAGGACGCGGAGCTTGCCACGTCGCCAGTAGGGGCTGTCTGGCTCCTCCCTGTGGGGGGACCCTCTGGTGAAGGCTGTCAGGTTTCCACAGAAAATAAGCGGTTTGAGGCATGCCAGACTGCCTGGAGTCCAAGTGCACGTAGGAATCCGAAGCAGTCTGGCTTAGGTGGGACACTGCACTTAAGGGTCGCGCACTTAGTAATGCATCTGCCCAGATTCTAGCAACGTCCTGGGAGGTAGGTGCCACCGTTGGTCCCGTTTAACTGGGTGGGGGAGAAAGGGAGAGAAAAGGAGCTGTGTTGCATATCTGTGAAATGTGTAGTTTAATTCAGCCCAGGGAGAGGCGTGGAGAGTCTCAGGGAGGTCTCAGATTTGCACATCTCAGCGAGATGGCTCACACAGTTCTCCAGTCTGCCCAGTGACTCAGGGGAAACCAAGATAACTAACCCAGCTCCGTCTCTGGTCACTGATCAGCTGTGCCTTCTAAAGTGTATCTGACCAGTTTTTTTCGAAGACCCCCTAGCTCCAACTCTTGTGCAGGTAATTAAAATGCTCCCCATTGTGTTCCTTTTTGGAATCATGGAGTAAGAGTTGCTCAAGGGGTTCCTCCCCCGGGGGGGGGGCTTTTGGGGAGAGAGAAATGGACTCAAGAATCATTAGAGGGGCTGGAGAGATAGCACAGCGGGTAGGGCGTTTGCCTTGCACGCGGCCGACCCAGGTTCGATTCCCAGCATCCCATATGGTCCCCTGAGCGCCGCCAGGAGTAACTCCTGCATGCAGAGCCAGGAGAAACCCCTGTGCATCGCCAGGTGGGACCCAAAAAGCAAAAAAAAAAAAAAGAGAATCATTAGAGATTTGAGGGACCACTGGGACTGGAGAGACACCATAGTACACCATGCCTGTGGCAGACCCATGTTCAATCCCCCATACTCCATGTGGTGGCGCCCTACCCAGAGTGATCCCGCAGTTCAGAGCTACCTGAGCACTGAGTAAGTCCTGAGCACCGTCCCGTGGGGCCCAGCAATAAAAGAATCTGAATGCCGCTGGAGTGGCTGGCAGAATGGGTTTAGAATGTGGACTCGGGGAGCCTGGTGGGGTAAGCCTCAAAGAGAAGAATGTGGTGCAGGAAATAAGCTGTGTGGCCTGCTTGCGGGAAGGGCTCTCAGATTCAATGAAGAAGGTGTGGAGAAAGGAGTGAGAGGACAGAGGGGCGGAGTGGGGGAATAAATCCACTCAAGGGACACACGTCAGAAATTTTGGGGTTATTTTTTGGGGGGATGCATACCAGCAATGTGCAGGGTTTACTCCTGGCTCTGTGCTCAGGGATTACTCCTGGTGGTGCTCGAAGGACCATATGGGATGCCAGGGATTGAACCCGGCTCGCCACTTGTAAGGCAAATGCCCTATTGACTGTTGGGCCCCCGAAGTTTGTTTTGGTGGGGGCCACACTTGGGGTTCTCAGGGAACCAACCATATGTGATGTCAGGATTCGAACCATTGTCTGGGCTTCAGCCACGTACAAGGCAAGGATCTTTACTGTCTCCTGCCTTTGAGAAGGTATCTAATAGTGCAGTTAAAGAGACTGAGGTCCTGGGGCTGGAGTGATATGATAGCACAATGGGTAGGGCGTTTGCCTTGCATGCTGCAGACCCAGGTTTGATTTCCAGTATCCCATATGGTTCCCTGAGCACCGCCAGGAGTAATTCCTGTGCATCACCGGGTGTGATTCCCCCCAACCCCCCAAAAAAAAGAGAGACTGAGGTCCTGAGGAGAGAATACCAGCCTTGGGTTACCTAAAGTAGCTTTGTTTAGGGTGTGTTAACTATAGTGCCAATAATAGGAAAACATAATTTTCTAAATCTGTTGATATTTGGTATGTGCCCAGCACCATATGTTAAAAGCTGTTCGTATTTCAACCTCTCTAACCTTCCCAGCATCCTGTGAGGGGCTGAGTGTTAGCTCCAGATGACCAGTGGATTAAGGAACTGAGTCAAGAGAGGAATTTTTTTTTTTTTTTTGCTTTTTGGGTCACACCCGGCAATGCACAGGGGTTACTCCTGGCTCTGCACTCAGGAGTTACTCCTGGCGGCTCTCAGGGGACCATATGGGATGCTGGGAATCGAACCCGGGTTGGCCGTGTGCAAGGCAAATGCCCTACCTGCTGTGCTATCTCTCCCGCCCCAAGAGAGGAATTTTAAGTACCTTGTAAGAAGCCCCAGTGAGTGAGTGAGTAAACCTAGATTTGTCCCAGGTCTGATAACCAGAATTAGATCATTGGTTTTCCCCCGCTCTGGAGAAGCCCAAGTTCTCTCTTTACATGTGTCCTTCTGTTTCTCTTCATTCATACACCTCTCTAAATTTCTTTCAATAAAAACTATTTTACTTCACTAAACAAAACATTAGCTCACCATTGAATCATCATTGACTTGCTTTATATTCATTTTTGGGGAGAGTGGGGTACACCCAACAATGTTTAAGGGATACTCTGTGCCTAGTGCTTTGGGGACCACTCCTGGCAGTGCTCAGGGAACCATGAGGTACTGGAGATTGAACCCAGGCCCTCTGCATGCAAAGTATGCTCTCTGTCTGTCTGTCTGTCTGTCTGTCTGTCTGTCTGTCTCTCTCTCTCTCTCTCTCTCTCTCCATTGAGCTGTCTCTCCAGGCAGATATGCTCTGGATTCTGCATTTGGAGCTGGGTATGCTGGTGCATTGCTGAGTGGGGTGCATTCCTGTGGCATCATGATCACTATCTCACTATCTCCTTGGATTTCTGTTGAGCCGCTGGTTTCAAGCTCATGAGCTTTGAGTCAGGCTACTGTGATAGGACGTTGTATAGGAACTTAGATTTTAAAGCACTCCCATCTTTCTCTGAATGCATCAAAAACAATTTCAGGGCCTAAAGGTTGGGTTGGTGGCTTTAAGAACTTGTCCAGCAAGTACCAGAGTATTAGTTCAGGCCCTCGTGCCATTATATTACCAGCAGGATACTTCATTTCATTTATGAAAAGGAGAAGGAATTTTCTAGGCAAACTCTTCAACACAGTCTAATTTTTTTTTTCTTTTTGGGTCACACCCAGCGACGCACAGGGGTTACTCCTGGCTCATGCACTCAGGAATTCTTCCTGGCAGTGCTCAGGGGACTATATGGGATGCTGGGAATCGAACCCGGGTTGGCCGCGTGCAAGGCAAACACCCTACCTGCTGTGCTATCGCTCCAGCCCCTCCAGTTGAATCTTGAGAGAACATTGTCTGGGCCACCCGGGTTCCACGGCACCCAGTCCCTTACTGCACGAGCATTGCTGTAAAGTTGATGTTGCCACTGGGGAAGCATTACCTACTGTCACTTGGGGCGAACCACCATCATTTTATTTGAAAAATAGCTCAAAGCACACCAGGCCCCAGGTGAATTCCTGCTCTGCATTTCCTGCCCTCGGTGAGTGTGTTCTGGGGCTGAGCACCCCAAGTGGGAGACTCGGGAAGGCCAGGTTTCCTGTTTACCATGGACGGCAGGCCTGGACACACACCGGCAGAGTCGGGTTGTCACGGTCCCGTGCTTCATTCATAGATAAACAAGCTGGAGAAAGCAGTGGCCGCCGCCCACACCTTCTTCGTGGGGAATCCGGAGCATGAGGAGATGCGCCAGAACCTGGACTACTACCAGAGGATGTCCGGGGTGAAGGAGGAAGACTTCAGGGACCTGGAGGCCAAGCCCCACATGGTGAAAAGCGTTCGCTCCCCTTTGGTCTCTCCTTTGAAAGTGACGTTTGCTAGGGCTGAAGCTGTGTGTATCGTTGAGAAATGCAGATCAGCCACTATCCTGCCACCTTAAGAAAACCAGTAGTTAGTATTTTGGTCTTCCTTATTGGAGGAGAGGCACAACTGGCAGTGCCATCTCGCCCGCTCCCCGGAATGACTCGATCAATCACAATCACGATCATCCTGTTGTTCGTCGATTGCCTCGAGCAGGCCCCAGTAACGTCTCCTTTGTCCTAGCCCTGAGATTGTTTTAAAAAGTGCCATATTCAAGGCTCTTTCAGAGTTAGGAGAATGAGATCCTTCATTGTTACTGGTATTTGGCATATTGGGGAGTTTGCCAGACTCTGCCGTGTGGGCAGGTTACATTAGGTAGCCTGCCAGGCAGTCTCCTGCCCCCGCGCGTGGCTGTCCTCGCTGGGGCCCCCCGGAATGACTATTAAGAGTAAATTGCTGGGGGCTGGAAGGATAGTACAGTGGGTAGGGTGTTTGCCTTACACGCGGCCAACCTGGGTTCGATTCCCAGCATGCCATATGGTCCCCCAAGCATCGCCAGGAGCAATCCCTGAGTGCATGAGCCAGGAGTAACCCCTGTGCATTGCCGGGTGTGACCCAAAAAGCAAAACAAAACAAAACAAAACAAAAAAACCCCCCAAAAAACCAAAAACATTGCGGGGCTGGAGGGGTAGCACAACGGGTAGCATATTTGCCTTTGCCTTGCGCATGGTTGACCTGAGTTCAATCCCTGGCACCTTGTATGGTCCCCTGAGCCCCACCAGGAATTCCTAAGCACAGAACCAGGATTAGTGACCAGCACGGTTTAAAAACTTGAAAAACAAAACCAAAAGAGAGTAAATCGAACTGGAGCTATGGGATAACAGGTAAGACACTTTACATGAGGCCAACCCCGGCACCCCCTGTAGTTCCCTGAGCCCCACCAGGATTGATCCCTGAGCACAGAGCCAGGAGTAAGCCCTGACCGCCAGGTTTGGGCCCCCCCTTCAGGAAAAAAAAAAGTAAATTGTGTCCGGCCAGGGTGCTGACTTAGAGGCTGGAGTGCCTGCCTGGCATGCAAGGGCTCCGAGTTTGATTCCCGAAGTGTAATCCCTGGTGCTCCTTTGGTCCCAGATGTAACGGGAGTCCTACTTGGGAGCCTCCCCCATTTCTACAAAAAAGAAAATGGTATCCATCTAGTAACTTATAAACAGTTTTTGAGGGTGTGTTTTGTTTGGTTTTGGGGCCATACCCAGTGGTGGGTGCCCAGAGATCACTCTTGGTGGGGATTGGAAGACCCTTTGTGGTGCTGAGGGTCAAACCCAGGTCAGCCCCATGAAAGTCAAGGACCCTACCCACTGGACTGTCTTCCCAGTACATCTCCCAGTATGTGTGCATGTATCTTAAATGATCCTGTGACAGATGAAATGGCTGTTGTCCCTAGAAATGGAACCCACGCCCCACGGAGAGCACGCCTGGAGTCTGTAGTCAACTGTGGCGGCCCTACCCAGCCCTCACTGCAGGAGATCTGGCCAACACCACGTTCTAACTTTGGAGAGTCTACGTTCTTCTCCTTTTGGTGTTTGGTCTCTGTGCTTGGGGATCGCTCCTGGTGGTGTGCAGGGGACCGTGCGGTGCCGAGGATCAATCCCAGGGCTCCTGCCTGCAGAACAGGCTCCCCGGCTCGTGGAGCTATGGCTCTGACCTGAGAGTTTAATTTTTGCTTGTTTTTGTTTTGGGACTACTACTCCAGTGGTGCTCAGGACTTATTCCTAGTTCCGCACTTAGGGATCACTCCCAGCAGGGCTTGGGGATCTTATGTGGTGGGTCAGCCCACAAGGAGAACAACTTCCCTGCCCACTATACTAGCATACTGGCCCAAGAGTTTAGTTTGGATTTTGGTTTGGGGCCACACCCCACAATACTCAGGGGTTATTCCTGGCTCTGCACTCAGGGATCACTCCTGGCAGGCTCAGAGGGCCCTATGGGGTATTAGGGATCCAACCCTAGTGGGCTGTGAGCAAGGCAAGAGCCCCACCCGCTGTGCCATGGGCCCCCTCCTCTCGCATCTTCTTTTATTTATTTATTTATGTATTTATTGACTTTTTGCACACCCAGTGATGCTCAGAGGTTACTTCTGGCTCTGCACTCAAGAATTACTCCTGGTGGTGCTCAGGGGATGATATGGGATGCCGGGGATTGAACCTAGGTTGGCTGTGTGCAAGGCAAACACCCTACCTGCTGTACTAGCACACTGGCCCAAGAGTTTAGTTTGGATTTTGGTTTGGGGCCACACCCCACAATACTCAGGGGTTATTCCTGGCTCTGCACTCAGGCATCACTCCTGGCAGGCTCAGAGGACCCTATGGGGTATCAGGGATCCAACCCTGGTGGGCTGCAAGGAAGACAAGAGCTCCACCCGCTGTGCTATGAGCTCCCTCCTCTTGCATCTTCTTCTCCTCCTCCTCCTCCTCCTCCTCCTCCTCCTCCTCCTCCTCCTCCTCCGCACTCAAGAATTACACCTGGCGGTGCTCAGGGGACCATATGGGATGCTGGGGATCGAACCCAGGTTGGCCGTGTGCAAGGCAAACGCCCTCCCCGCTGGACTACAGCTCTAGCCCCCTCCTCTCGCATCTTTATACTGTCCTGTGCAAGTGTCAGGGAATGAGAATGTGCCTGCTTGACTAAAAGGAAAGCAGCAGCCGGCGGCCTGCCTCGAGCCCCCCCATCTCCTCCCAGTAGCAGGAGTTCCGGCTGGGCGTGCGGCTCTACTCGGAGGAGCAGCCGGGGGAGGCATTGCCGCACCTGGAGTCGGCGCTGCGAGAGTACTTCCTGGCAGACGAGGAGTGCCGCGCCCTGTGCGAGGGGCCCTACGACTACGACGGCTACAACTACCTCGAGTACAGGGCCGACCTGCTGCAGGCCATCACGGGTGGGTGCCGGGCATCTGCTTTTTCTTTCTTTTCTTTTTCCTTTTGGGTCACACCCGGCGATGCTCAGGGCTTACTCCTGGCCCTGCACTCAGGAATTACTCCTGGTGGTGTTTGGAGAACCATATGAGATGCCGGGGATCGAACCCGGCAAACGCCCTACCCGCTGTACTATCAGTCCGGCCCCCTCTGACTATTTTCATGCTATCCTCGGTGGTGCCCCAAGGCCAGTCCCAGCTCTGTGCTCAGGAGTGACCCCTGCCAGGGGCTCCTGGGCACATACGTGATGCTGGATATTCCAGGGGGGTCGGCCGCCTGCCAGGCCGATGCCTTCCCGACTATACTCTCTCCCCCACCCTATCACGTGCATCTTTTTGTTTTGTTTATGGGTCACACCCAGTGATGCTCAGGGATAACTCCTGGCTAGCTAGGATTGTGTGGGATGCCGAGGATGGCGCCCGGGTGGGCTGTATGCGAGGCAAGTACCCTACCCGCTGCATTGTCCCTGCAGTCTCCGATCTTGTTCCTCTTAACCCGGCTCTGAGTCCTTGCCGCCGGACCCAGCGGTCACCTGCCCTCGCCTCTGATTCCTTTCAGATCATTACGTGCAGGTGCTCAGCTGTAAGCAGGGCTGTGTCACCGAGCTTGCCTCCCACCCAAGCCGCGAGAAGCCCTTCGAAGACTTCCTGCCATCGCATTATAATTACCTGCAGTTTGCTTACTATAACAGTAAGTCCTGCCCTCTCCTCTCTCTCTCTTCCTTCGAACTCGGAAGCCAGATGGGCAAGGGTTCTCACCCCCTGAGCCTGTTATATTCAGGCTCTCCACTGTGGCTCTGGGAGAGCCAGGGATCCTGGGGGGCATCTTACAAGGTGCTCTTCAAGGCGCTTGGTACTAGCAACTCCCTAAAGTCAGGACAGACTATCTGTCTGTCTCTTCCCTGCTGTAGCATTTATAATCTGATTTTGCATCTGACACCGCAAAGGGAAGGGTGGGTCTCCCACTCACCGCCCCATCGAGGGCTTCTCCCTGGGAGCTGATGCTTATAGGGGCAAGGGGCACCTGTTTGTAGGCAGGGCATACTGGGTTCTGCCAGGGCACACTGGGTTCTGCCAGGGCTTACTGGGTTCTGCTAAGCAGGACAGCAGTCTCAGAAGTAGACGATGTTGATGGCTGCCCGAGTAGCCTAATACAGGAATCAGAACCGTTCTTCTTCCCTTTTCTGGCTACACCCAGTGATGCTCAGGACTTACTCCTAGCTTTGTACTCAAGGATCACTCCTGGTGGGGCTCTGGAGGACCGTGTGGGATGCCGGGGATCAAACCCAGGTTAGCCACATGCAAGGCCTTTCCCCTTGTACAATCGCTCTGTTTCCCTGGAACCAAAACAGTTCTGACAAAGAGGTGTCAGAAACCCACTTTTGAGCATCCACAGGGAAAAGAAGGTGTGGAGATTCTGCCTGAAACTGATCTAATATTGAGACCAGGGATCATATTAATTACAAATGTTATTATATTATTATTATATTAATATTATATTATTCATTATCTCATTCTTGCTTTGGACAACCTGGCAGGCTACCGAATGTAACCTGCCCACATGGCAGAGTCTGGCAAACTCCCCGTGGTGTACCCAATATGCCAAATACTAGTAACAATGATGGGTCTCATTGTCCTAACCCTGGAAGAGCCTTGAATATGGCACTTTTTAAAAAATCTCAGGGCTAGGATGAAGGAGACGTTACTGGGGCCTGCTCGAGGCAATTGACGAACAACAGGATGGTCGTGATCGTCATCGTTATTATATTGTTTGGGGGCCACTCCCGGTGATGCTCAGGACTTCCTCCTGGCTCTGCACTCAGAGATCACTCCCGGCAGTGCTCAGGGGACCATCTGGGGTGCCAGTAGGGATCAAATCAGGGTCGGTCGCATGCGAGGCAAACGCCCTACCTGCTATACTATCACTCTGGCCAACATTACTTATGAATTTTTAAAGCTGTGAATGCTCAGAAGACTTCAGTCTTCCCTGTTGTAGCACTGGGGAACCTGGCGGATACTTGAGCACTTTAAATTCCGTTCTGTGTCGTGAAACTCCTCCCCCTAACCCGGCAGAGTGGTATGCAACAGGTCCTGGGCTGGGTCTGGCGCCCGGAACCCTTTCCCCTGAGCCCTTTCTTCCCCCTTTGTAGTTGGCAATTACACGCAAGCTATCGAGTGTGCCAAGACCTACCTTCTCTTCTTCCCCGACGATGAGGTGATGAACCAGAATCTGGCTTACTACACAGCCGCCCTGGGGGAAGAAGAGGCTGCATCCATCAGCCCCCGTGAGGTGAGTCTTTCTGTTGTTGCTGTTTGGGGACCATACCCGGTGATGCTCGGGGCTGACTCCTGGCTCTGTGCTCAGGAGTCACTCTTGGCAGGCTTGGGGAACCCTGTACCTTGTGGGCACTGGGGATGGAACCCGGGTCAGCCACATGCAAAGCAAGTGCCCTTCCTGCCGTACTATCATTCTGGGCACACCCCGACTTCCCCATTAGGTAAGTCTTGTGTGATTCAGGCAGGGCCAAGAAGATAGCTCATAGGGCAGGAGCAGGGGAAAGGGGTAGGGGGAAAAAAAGGGGGGGCTGATTAGATGCTTCAGGCGACTCAGCTTGGTCCCTAGCACCACATGGTCCCCCAAGCACTGTTAGGGAGCAGCCCTGGAACACTGAGCCAGAAATAACCTCTCAGTAGCACTGGGTTGTGGCCTCCTCGAGAAACAAAGCCAAACCAAAAATAATTGGGCAGCTGATCCCGCCCAGGAGCAGAAATGTGGGCCGTTGGAAGGGGAAGCTGGAGCTCGTGGGCCGGGGGTGCCGGGTGCTTGGACTGGATGAATGCTTGATCCAGCTGTCACTCAAGAATAGGGAAGCAGGGCTGGAGTGATAGCACAGCAGGTAGAGCGTTTGCCTTACACGCGGCTGACCTGGGTTGATTCCCAGCATCCCATATGGTCCCCTGAACACTGCCAGGAGTAATTCCTCAGTGCATGAGCCAGGAGTAACCCCTGTGTGCATCACCGGGTGTGACCCAAAAAGCAAAAAAAAAAAAAAAAGAAAAGAAAATAGGGGAGCTCAGAAAGTCTGACTGCTGTGAGCCGTAACTAGCAGGATCTGGGCCCAGAAGACTGATGTCTGAGTTGGCCAAGTCACAGGCCTGGGGCTGGAGCGATAGCACAGCAGGTAGGGCGTTTGCCTTGCACGCGGCCAACCCAGGTTCGATTCCCAGCATCCCATATAGTCCCCTGAACACCGCCAGGGGTAATTCCTGAGCACAGAGCCAGGAGTAGCCCCTGTGCATCGCCGGGTGTGACCCAAAAAGCAAAAAAAAAAAAAAAAAAGTCACAGGCCTGCTCTCTTCCCATGCTGGCACCCCGACTCTGACACTTGAAAACCCCTTTCTGGACCATGTTTTATCATTTTGTTTTGGGGCCATATCCAGTGGTGGTCAGAACTTACTTCTGGCTCTGTGCTCAGGGATTACTCCCAGTAGGGCCCTGGAAACCATATGGGATGCCAGGGATTGAACCAGGGTCAGCTGAATGCAAGGCAAAAGCCCTACCTGCTGTACTCTTTGGATCCCCTTTATCTTGTGTATGTGGGGGGGGGGGAGGGTGGTTTTTTTTGGGTCACATCTGGAGATGCTCTCAGGGATCATGACTCTGTGCTCAGGAATTACCCCTGGTGGTGCTCAGGGGACCATATGAGATGCAGGGGATCGAACCTGGGTCGGCCCATGCAAGACAAATGCCCTACCCTCTACTATCACCCCAGCCCTAGTTTTATTATTTATTTGTGGTTTTTAGGCCACATTCAGTGGTGCTCGGAGATGGCTTCTGGCTCTTTGCTCAGGGATCACTTCCTGGGGGGGTTGGGAGTAGTGTTAGGTGACCATATGGGATGCTGGGAATCGAACTCAGGCCAGTTGCATGCAAGGCAAATGCCCTTCCCACTTTACTACTACTCCAATCCCTATATCCTTAAAACACACACACACACACACACACACACACACACACACTTGTACGTTTAAATTTCAAATGGTAAACTTTCTGGAAAGACTGGTAAGAAATTCCTGTCTACCATCTCCGTGGGTTCCCTTTGCTCTGTCTGAGACAGCTGATCCCAGGGCAGGCGGGCACAGACAGGTGTGTGTGGAGTTCCTGGAGCTCCTGTGGGAATTGCACGTGGCTGTGGGACCCTGGAGAAGCCACGCGGGGTGTGGGGGCCCAGGAGGCAGCCGAGAGAGATCCCGGGAGGAATGGAGGCTGAGAACGGCCAGGACAAACACCTGGACAGTTGTCCCAAGTACTTGGCGGGGCAGTGGAGGGGAGTGACCCAGTTGCTGCAGCCGCTGATGCCGGACCTCAGGCACAGGGGCGTCACAGAGTGTCCTGTCGTGATGGCTTGAGGACAGTGGTGACCATTGCTCAGAGCCAAGGGTGCCGGGCTGGGAGCAGAGGGGATCGGTTACCCCGGGGGGCTGAGCAGGGGGAGGGAGAGGTGGAACCTGGGTGGTGTTTTCGCTCCCACCCCCCTATGCTTCATACCCAAGTAGGTGCCCCTCAGAGGCGAGGCGCGTCCGTGGTGCCATCTGCGTGGCTCCTGATCTCCCCCTGGAGCAGGGCACCCGCATGTCCTCTTCCCTGGGACGATGCTGCTGTGGCAGAAACGCTTCCCGTGGGGGCCTGCAGCCCTCGGTGTTGAAAACAGCCCTTTCCGACGTGGGCGGTAGTTTGGATTTTGCAGACTTCCTCGGTGTCTGTTTGTGTCTGTTTGATTTTCATGGCATCCCAGTGAGAGTGGGGTGGAGATCCCCCACCTACCTGGACAAGAAAACCATTCTTCCCAGTTCTGGCGTCCCTCAGAGCAAAGTGTCCGTCTCCTGGTCTCCCCACCTGCCTGAACAATGCTGTGGTTGTCCTCTTTGGCCACTAGATGGCTACCCTCTGGGTTGGCGAGGCTGCTCTTCTCCCAGCCTCTTTGTCTTGTGTGAGCGAGTCTGGGGCCGATGGGAAGGTGGTGGCTCTGCCTTTTCCACTCGGGTCCCTCTCTTACCAACGAGAAGGAGGCTGCGAGGTGCTGAGCCCGGCGCAGTCCCAGCCCGTTGGGGCGGACCTGCAGTATGGTTGGCCCGTCCTGGCCGCCTCCAGCCGTTGATGATCTTTTCACGGGGCCCCGGGTGGTGAGCTGACTGGCCAAGGGATGCCTCTGACCACTGGCGGTGCTGTCCAAAATCTCTTTCCTCCCCAGAGCCGTTACTGTTCCTGGCACCTGGCGGATACGCACTGGCTCCCCAGCGAAAGAATGAGAGGTGCTGGGGCTGGAGCGATAGATAGCACAGCGGGTAGGGCGTTTGCCGTGCACGCAGCCGACCCAAGTTCAGTTCCCAGCATCCCATATGGTCCCCTGAGCACTGCCAGGAGGAATTCCTGAGTGCATGAGCCAGGAGTAACCCCTGAGCATTGCCAGGTGTGACCCAAAAAGAAGAAGGAAAAAAAAAAAAAGAATGAGGGTGCAAGTGGATCTGGAGATTCCAGACCTTTCCCGAGCTTGGTGAAGAAGCCAAGCTTCTTGCTAGGAAGCTGGATTTGGGTTACACCCGGCAGTGTTCAGGGACCCTGATGGTGTTCGGGGGACGGGACGGGGTGCGTCGAATGAGGGTCCCCTACACGCGAGGCAAGACTCCCCCAGCCCAATGCCGAGCTCCTGAACACCTTGGGGAGCGGACTTGGAGCTCCCTGCTGGGTAGGTGACGCTGGTGACCTGGGCACTCGCGTGTCCCTTACTGCTCTCGGCCCTGATTCTAACTGACGGTGTCTTCTCTCTGCCTTCCTCCTCCTGCTGCTTGGACGCTGGCAGGGCTCCTAGGGGATGGAGTTTCCCTCCAAGGTACTTAGTGTCCCGGTGGGGTAAGCGCCATCTCGGAATGTGCCCACCTGCTGCCCTCCTGCAGCTGCCCATCTTCAGGGGGGGCCCGGCAGGCCTGAGAGGCTGGGACAGGCCTGGGCGCTGAAGGTGCGGTCCCTGCTCTGTCCCCTCCAGCTGCAGTCCCCTCTGCACCTTGTAAATGGAAGGGGCCCATGCCCACGCCCGAGGGCAGGTCCTCTGGCTATCACCCCCCAGTGCTTAGCACTCAGGTTTCTTCCTTGAGTCCCCCGACTCCTGTAGAACTCAGGAAGGAATTCTCCCTAAGGGGGGGCGGAGGGTGGGTATTTGTCTCCTGAGAACCCCTGGTTTCTCGACTCAGACGTTATCGGGGCACAGGGAGAGGTGGACGGCAGGGGACCTGCTTCCTTCCCGTGGGGCCTGGTCATGCCACACTTTGAAGCCAGGCCCAGGCTCTGGTGGATGAGGCCAGAGGAACCCTTGGGCGCAGAGGCGGTCAGGGAGCAGACTCGCCCACGCGGATGGGAGGGAGCCCCCTGGCAGGAGGGCTGGTGCCAGGGCGCTGCCTCCCGTCCCTCCCCAGAGTGCCCGGGAGTACCGCCAGCGGAGCCTGCTGGAGAAGGGGCTGCTCTTCTTCGCTTATGACGCCTTCGGGATTCCCTTTGTGGATCCGGTGAGTGGGTGAGGTGGGGGCAGAGGCCTGGCGGGGATAGATGCTCTGGGCTGATGCTCAGGACTCTGGGGAGGAAACAGAGTCTTGTCCGACTCTGCGCCGGACAAGAGGCCACTGAACTCATCTATGGGCGATGGATGCGTGGGGCTGCCGGGGGGGGGTGTCAGAGACCCTCCCTCAGCCTCCGGGGTGGGGGACGTCGTGAGAAGTCGCCTGTAGCACTCCCGCCCCCATTGGACCTGAAGAGTACGCACTTAATGGGCCGTCGGTCACACACTGGGCAGGGATGCCCATGGTCACGCAACTGACCCGCAGGTCACGCAACTGACCCGCAGGGCCTCTTTGTTTCCCCCTGACCTGCCTTTAGGATTCATGGACCCCCGAAGAGGTGATTCCCAAGAGGTTGCGAGAGAAACAGAAGTGAGGTCCCGTGGCTGGTGGGGGTGGGGGGGCTTGTTGGAGACGGATGGGGGCCCGCAGTGGGGGGGGCCATGAGGGGTGGGAGTGGGCCCAGACCCCCATCCAGCGCTCAGAGCGGCCGTGTCGCAGGTCGGAGCGGGAGACCGCCGTCCGCATCTCCCAGGAGATCGGCCAGCTCATGAAGGAGATCGAGACCCTCGTGGAGGAGAAGACCAAGGAGTCTCTGGACGTGAGCAGGCTGACTCGGGAAGGTGAGTGGGGCTGCGGCCCCGGCAGAGCCAGCCCCAGGCTCGGGGCCACACTCACGGGGGCCTGACCTTCTGCAGAGAGCACCGAGAATTAGCCTAGAATAGTCCTGGGCTGGAGAGAGTATGGCCAGCCATCAAGGCGCTTGCCTTGCCTGCAGCCGACCGTGGCACCACCAGGAGCCCCCTTGAGCACTGACGGCGTGGCCCCACCCCCCCCCTCGCACCCGCACAAAGGAAACAAAGACAGGAAAGAATTCACCCCTGGAGCCCGAGCGGTAGTACAGCCAGGAGAGCCCCTGCCTTGCCCTTGCCTTGCCCAGGCTGACCTGGGTTCAATCTCCAGCATCCCATATGGTCCCCGTCAGGAGTGAGCCCTAGGCTCAGAGTCAGGAATAAGCGTGTCCAAGTGTGGCCCAAAACACAATAAAATAATACTTCCAAGCCCAGGAGGGGCCTCCAACTCTCAGGCTAGGTTCCTGTCCTCCAGTGAGCATTTCCGGACACAGCTCTCTGTCCAGCCCCTGGTCTGCAGTTGCCCCTGGACACCACCTCCCTCTGTGTGTCCTGCCTTCCCCCCACTGCTAGACCGCTAGACCAGAAGCTCTCCCCCTCCTCCCTGCCCTCTCCCTCCTCCCTGCCCCTTCCCTGCTCCTCCACCCTCTCCCCCATGAGCCTGACTGACCTAAACATATTCCAGCTGCTTCCTTCCCCGAATGCTCTTCCCCACAGGTCTGCCAGGGGAACACTTCTCAGATCGACTCACAAAGCTATTCTTTTTGGGGGGGGTTCGGGGGAGACGAGTTTCCAAGAGGTATTCAGCAGGGCCTGGGACCTCTCCCAGGGATATTTGGCCAACTGGGTCAGACCATCAATGCTCAGTTCCAGTGGTGCTGGGGACCCCCAGGGCCACCCTGGCAGTGCTTGGGGCCCCCAGGGCTCCACTCAGTGATTCTCACTGGTGGGGCTGGGGGATCAGGCTCGGGTTGGGCACAAGCGAGGTGTGTGAGACTTCACTCCGCTGTCTTCCAGGCCCCTTATTTCAAATGAATGGTACTGATGTGGTGGCCATTGGAATTCTAAACATTTGCTATGTGCCTGCATTATGGGAGTCACCCCTGAGCATCGCTGGGTGTGACCCAAAAAAAAAGGGAAGCTTTATCGTTCTTTGTATCAAAGAGACGTTAACTCTGGGAAGGAGCTGCTGTTTTACAGAGGAGAAAAGGCTCCGAGAGGGTTAGAACTGTGCCAAGGTCACAAGCAAGGCCAGGCTGAAGCAGTCCGGGTCCGCTGCGCCTTCCTTAGGGACATGCTCAGGGCATGTCCTCCAGGACTGGGAAGACTCTGCAACCAGCAGCTGGGCTGGGGCCTCTGTGTCCCCTGCAACCCCCCCAGTGGGATTGTGCCCCGTGGCCAGGCAGCAGGGGGCCAGTCTGCTCCCGCTGGGCCGTGGCGCCTCAGCCCTGAGCCCTGCTGACCTCTCGCTGTGGCCCCGCAGGCGGCCCCCTGCTCTACGAGGGCATCCGGCTGGCCATGAACTCCAGGGTCCTGAACGGCTCCCAAAGGGTGGTGATGGACGGCGTCCTCTCCGACGACGAGTGCCGGGAGCTGCAGAGACTCACCAATGTGAGAGTCGCTGCCCCTCTCTCCTCCCCGCACCCCTTCCCCCAGCCTGCCCCCACCCTGCCCCGCACCCCTGCCCTGCACCTCCCACGCAGGTACCTCCCCCATGCACAGACCTTCACCCCCTCCTTGCGATACCCCGGCCCAGCCTCCCTGTCCCCTGGCCCAGGCCTCTTAGGAGCCAGCGCCAGCCTCACCCTTGCTGCGGGCACCTGGCCACCTCTCCCGGGGCCCTCGGCAGCCCTGGCTGACACCACCTTGTTTGGGGGCACTTGTAGGCAGCAGCAACCTCAGGAGACGGCTACCGGGGCCAGACCTCCCCCCACACCCCCAACGAGAAGTTCTACGGTGTCACCGTCTTCAAGGCCCTCACGGTAGAGCCCCTGCTCGGCCTTCAGGGTGCGGGGGGCAGGAGCAGGGGGCGAGGGTGGGCAAGATAGTGGGAGGCCTCTGTCCCTGGGGCCACGGCCACAGAGGCCCCGGGATCCTGGCGGGGCCCCTGCTCCCCGAAACCAAGTGCTTTCTCAAGAGCGCTGGTCCCGGGCAGACTTAGGGGCGGGAAGGAGCAGGACGCAGGAGAGACAGAGGAAGGGGCACTGGGGGGCTCCGTGGGAAGCCCAGCTCGCTCCCAGCAGCAGCGGCAGCAGAGGGGCGTTGCTGGGGGCGCGGGGTGGGGGCAGCTGACCTGGCTCCTCCTCTTGCAGCTGGGCCAGGAAGGGAAAGTGCCACTGCAGAGCGCCCACCTGTACTACAACGTGACGGAGAAGGTGCGGCGGGTCATGGAGTCCTACTTCCGCCTGGACACCCCCCTCTACTTCTCCTACTCCCACCTGGTGTGCCGCACAGCCATCGAAGGTGGGCGCCCCCTGCTGGGGCATGAGGAGCGGGTCCCTTCCTCCCAGCCTGGGGTTGGGGCTCTCTGTGCACCGCCCCCCGGCCTCCCCCAGCGGAGAGGGGCGTGGGGGTGGGCATGGGGTGCGGAGACTGGAGGCGGTTGGGGCAGATGCAGTGACGGCGCCTTCACTGCCACTCTGAGTCAGGGGCCTTGCTCTGAGTCTGGGTGTGAGGTATGAGGGGCAGGGACAGTTGTGCTGGGTGGGGTGCCAGGACGCTGCGAGTGTGAGCATGCCATGAAACCAGGCGCACGGAGAGGCCAGCTGGAGCCCACAGGGGAGGCGGGGGCAGGGGCTGCAGGAGCCGCTGCCCAGACTGGGATGCTCCAGGTCCACAGTGTGCCTCCCTCTCCACCTGGGGCAGGTTGGGATTGGGGGCCAGGCAGAGGAAGGAGGTGGGGTGGAGGGGCAGGGGCTGGGGGCACTGGGGGCCGCTGGCGGCTCACCTCCGCTGTCTGTCTGCATCCTCAGGTGTGGCCATGAGCTGCCCCAGCCCCTGATCAGGGCCCCTCCTTCCCGCTCTCCTCACCCTGCCTCCCTCCAGTGTCCTCGTCAGAGCCCCGTCCCGCTTGTTGCATCTCCTCACCCCACCAAGAACCTTCCCCAGAGCTGCCATAAATTCCTGCACTGGGGGCTCCGCCCAAACGGTCTCTCCTCCGGGGCCCTTCCTGCAGACCCCAGTACCTTTGGGGATACCCCCCCCCGCGCCCACCAACAAGAGTGCTGTAGTGGCCTCTGAGGTGGCCCTCGCTAACCCACTTCCTTGGCCCCAGAGGCCCAGGCCGAGAGGAAGGACAGCAGCCACCCCGTCCACGTGGACAACTGCATCCTGAACGCTGAGACCCTCGAGTGCACCAAGGAGCCCCCCGCCTACACCGCCCGTGACTACAGGTGCTGGCTTCCCACCCTCCCCTCGCTCAGCACGTGTGAGCACACACGTACACACATGCACAGTCAGGTCCACGTGTACACGTGTACACAGTCATAATCCACACGTGCACATACACACACATGCATACATACATCCACATGTGCACACACATGCAAGAGCACACACCCACCCACACACGTGCACACACACATACACATATGCGTACAGGTATCCATGCACACATACATGTACACACATGTGCACATACTTCCATCCACATACATGCACATACACATGTACACATGTGCACACATGCACACACAATCACCCACACACATGCACGCCCACATGTACATGCACCTGTGGTCAGATTTCCGTCCAGTTGCTTGCAGGGTGAGCAGCAACTGTGTAGGGCGGGTGCTGTGGGCGCACCCCAGGGAAGGACTCGCGGGAGGGGTGAAGCAGGGATGTGGGAGGTGGTGGGTGCGGGCTGCAGAGAAGATTCTGGAAGCTTCTCCTCCTTGGAAAGTGGCCCTCCTGCCAGTGCCGAGAGCAGTTGGTGTTGGGGGCTGGGGCTGGGGGCGGTGCCAAGATGCGGCCTCTTTCCCCAGTGCCATCCTCTATCTGAACGGAGACTTTGATGGGGGCAACTTCTACTTCACCGAGCTGGATGCCAAGACAGTGACGGTGAGTGGCGCACGCAGTGAAAACAGCCCCGAGTCTGCTTCCCCACGGTCGGCCGCCTTCTCCCTGCGGCGCTGGCCTGGGAAGGAACGCCAGGCTGAGAGCCACCCCGCCCTGGCCCTAATGAGGGTCCTGGGTCTGTGCAGGCAGAGGTGCGGCCACAGTGCGGGAGGACGGTGGGCTTCTCGTCCGGCTCTGAGAACCCGCATGGTGTGAAGGCGGTCACCAGGGGGCAGCGCTGTGCCATCGCCCTCTGGTTCACCCTGGACGCGCGGCACAGTGAGCGGGTGAGTCCCCCGGCTTCCCTCCCTGGGGGGCCCTCTTGCACCCGGCTCTCCTCCCCCAGCCAGTGGCGTAGACACGAGGACGCACCGGCCTGGGGGTTCCGCTGGGTCCCCCAGGGGTGGGACGTGGGGGATGGGGCATCTTGGTTCTGATAGAGAGCAGGGCCCAGTGGCCGGGAGCCCTCTGAGTGGACAGGGCATGGTCTTTGCAGGACAGAGTTCAGGCCGATGACCTGGTGAAGATGCTCTTCAGCCCCGAGGAGCTGGACCTCCCCCCGGAGCAGCCCCCCGAAGCACAGCAGGACCCCCCGCCGTCTACAGAGGTGTCGAAGGATGAGCTCTGACAGCATCCTGCTGCCTGCGACAGACTCTCCGACCCCTCGGCTCCACTGTGGGGACCCCATGGCACAGCCGGTGGCCCCCCAGACTGTGGAGCTGGCCCCAGAGAGCAGCACCGCCTGCAGGGAGCCCCTGCTACCTGGCCCTGGGGTGCCCCACGCACAGCCGCCTGCCCGGTGCCCGCTGCATGGGGAGTGGACATGGTGGTCAGCCACTCCCTGGACCTCGTGGGGAGGGGGCCTGGCGGGAGGTGCTCTGGGCCGCCAGCCAGTATTTAAGTCTTGTTCGACAGCCAACAAATAAATGATCTGTGTTTTTTTACTTGGGTTTGTGCTGGAAACAGGCCCTCCCGGCCCCTTGGGTCTCACTCGGTGACAGTGCTGGGGCAGGTGGCCGGACACGTGGACTCGGGTCTGGAGCTGTCATCTGGGTCTGCGGCCCTGTCCACTGTCCGGGGTGCGACAGCCAAGAACACTTGAGGCAAACAGGGAGCCTGTTAATCCTCTCCGAGCCAAAAGCAGATGTCAGCCCCACGGCCTGCACGGTGGTCAGCTTCCGGCGCCCCCACCTAGGGCCTGACTTCCCCCCAGACGACAGAGCTGTGGCGACTGAGCAGCGTTGGGCCTTGTTTTGTGGGCCACACCTGGCGGTGTCCAGTGGCAGCTCCTGGCGGGCCAATCAGGGCCACTCCCTGGGTGCTCGGGGGACCCTGGGGTGCTGGATATGGAACCCAGGCCTCCTGCTGGCTGAGGGTGCACCCAGCCATCTCGCCTGCTCCTGCGGGTAGTGCTTCCTCTTGGAGTGCTGGGTTTGGGGGAGCACAGGGAGTCCGTTCCTGTCCTCTCTGAGTTTGTGATTTAGGAGGGCGGCTCCAGGTAACCTTGAAGGAAGGGAGAGAAAATCACCGGGGGAGACTGGCGTGCCATAGAATGGCTGGGGACAACGGCGGGGCCGTCAGCCACGGGCAATGCTCTGAGCAGAAGCCAAGGGCCACCTTGGCGCTCAGTGGTGAGGGCCTGTGGAGCGCTGAGTGCGGGCTGCAACAGGGACCCCAAAGAGAGGAAGCAGGTGTGGGCTGGCTGCTGACAGTGAGGGCGGCAAAAAAAAAAAAAAGTTCAGTTCAGTTCTAGAGCTGTTTTCCAAGTAGAACCAGGGGCAGCAGATGATTAGATGGTGTAAGTGGCAGCATCGTCAAGAAGCATTTCAGGGGCTGGAGTCATAACATAGTAGGGAAGGTGCTTGCCTTGCCTGTGAGAGACCCAGGTTCAGTCCCCGGTGTCGCAGATGCTTCTCCAACTCTCACTGGGCACAGAGCCAGGAGCAAGCCCTGAGCACCACCGGGTGGTAGCTGCAGAGAATGGGCTGGATGTGACTGGTTGTGTCTGCCCCAGCAGGGGAAGGGACTGTGCCAGGGTCCCCCATTGTCCCCTGGAGGGAGTCATAAACAGTTGGTCCTCAACACCGGACGTGCCTCAACATGCCAGGCAGGATTGAAGGAAGCGCCGGCCAGGAAACTCAAGAAGGAATTTCACTGGCACCATCTTCAGGGCACTGCACCTTCCAGAACTTTTTCTGTCCGAGGTTGCATCCTTCTGTTTGTTTGTTTTTGTTCTTGGAGTTGTGCTCAGTGGCGCTCAAGGCATTCTCCTGTGCTCAGGGAACACTCCTGACACAGTGGACCATATGGGATGCTGGGAATCAAACCCAGGTCGGCTGTGTGCAAGGCAAGCGCCCTACCTGCTGTACTACCGCTCCAGGCCCTCCCCCACTTAGAACATTGGGCCACAGCTGGCAGTGCTCAGGGGCTATACCTACCTGACTCTGTGCTCAGGAGCAACCCCAGGTAATACTCGGGTACATCCACAGTACCAGGGATTCAAACCAGCCAGTAGCCTGGACTATGTATTCCACCCCACTGACCCTCACACACACTGATGGACCATGTATTATTATTATTATTATTATTATTATTATTATTATACTTTGGTTGGTCCCATCAACGGCCAAGACGCAGAGACTATAAAACCCAGTTCCCGGAGGAGAACAGCGCAGTCTCCTGCCCCCGCGCCTGGCTGTCCTCACCAGGGCCCCTTGGAGGGGGGAGGGTTGAGTTTCTCTCCCCTCCCCACCCCCCGCCCCGGGCAGAGCCCCAGCAGCTGAGGACCTCTGGTGCCAGCCACAGCCATGCTGGGACCACTCTCCACACGTCCGGACGGGCCTCATGCATGAAAGAACTGGCAGAGGAACCCAGGCATGCGGGTCCCGGGGCTGAGATCTCCAAGCCTACTCGAATCAGGACTGGGCCTTCTTTACCCAGACCCCCTATCTTCTAGTAGGTGGGCGTCACACGCACCAGCTGCCGACAGCGCCAGGTTGGTCCCATCAACGGCCAAGACGCAGAGACTATAAAACCCAGCTCCCGGAAGTGCGTGGTCGTATTCACGGCTGAGCGGCATCTTATTATCTTTCCTCTGGAGAACCTGGCAGGCTACAAAAAGTATCCTGCCCGCACGGCAGAGTCTGGCAAACTTCCCGTGTCGTACTCAATATGCCAAATACCAGTAACAACGATGGGTCTCATCCTCCTAATCCTGAAAGAGCATTGAAACGGCTCTTTTAAGAGCTCAGGGCTAGGTAGAAGGAGACGTTACTGGTGCCCGCTCAAGACAATTGATGAACAACAGGACGATCGTGATCGTGATACTGTGGTTGCCCACGGAGTGTGCAGAGGCCCTGGGTCACATTTGATGATGCTCAGCTGATACTGCTGGAGGCCAGCAGTTAGGGGAACACCAGGTGGTGCTCAGGGGACCACATGGTGCTAGAAGAGAGACTCGGCCTCCAGAGAGGGCCAGTGCTATTCCCCCCCTTTTGTGAGGGGGAGCCACACTTGGTGATGCTCAGGTGTTTCTCCTGGTTCTACACTCAGGCATAATTCCTGGTGGGGCTTAGGATGCCTGGGTTCAACCTGGCTTGAACCCGGGTTGACGGCGTTCAAGGCAACCTGCCGTACTATCTCTTCAGCAATTCTCCCTATTTTCAAGCAGGGAAGCAGGCCCAGAGAGGCTCAGGGACTTGCCTGATGCCACACAGCCTTTCTGGAATGTGAAACATGAAAGCATTTGTGTGTATTTGTTTGGGGGCCACACCCAGTGGTACTGCAGGTGCCACACAGTGCCCGGGGAGCCATGCGGGGCTGAGGCTCGGACCCTGGCCTTCCGCAGCAGACGCCTGCCTAGGCCCTGAAAGCACTTCTCCTCTCTATTATTTTCCTTGTTTCCTTTCTCCCTCCCCTCCCCCACTCCCATCTCCTCTCCACACCCGACAGCGCTCAGGGCTTACTTCTGGCTCTGCGCTCAGGAATCACTCCTGGCAGAGCTCCAGGGACCATTTGTGGTGCCCCAGATAGAACCGGGGTCAGCTGGTGTGCAAGGCAAGAGCCCTTCCAGCTGTGCGATGGCTCTGACCCCTGAATGTGCCTTTAAGCAGTGAAGTGTGATGCCCAGGGCAGTTTCTAGAAAGCTCCTCGCTCTAGCAGATCTGGGTGGGCCCCCAGCCTCCCTGCTGTCCCTGTGGGCCCACGGAGTCACTGGACTTCGGGGCTGAGGAGACATGTGGGAGGTGGGGGGGTGTGCACTGTGCCAGGGTTGGAGACTGCACTCCAAAGACAGTACCCGAATTCCCGAGACTTGGCAACTTCGAGAAGGGACGGTGAGACTAGGCTGGCAGGCTCCAGCTGTCAAAAACCAGATTCAGACTCAGGAAGAAAGAAAGAAAGAAAGAAAGAAAGAAAGAAAGAAAGAGAGAGAGAGAGAGAGAGAGAGAAAGAAAGAAAGAAAGAAAGAAAGAAAGAAAGAAAGAAAGGAAGGAAGGAAGGAAGGAAGGAAGGGGCAGAACAAGAGTATAGGAGGCAGCAGGGCGTTTGCCTTCTTCGTGGCCAAACTGGGTTTGATCGCGGGCATCCAGTTACCCCAAGTCCCTCTAGGAGTGATACCTGAGCACAGAGCTAGGAGTAACCGCTGAGCCGGGTGTGACCCCCTCAAAAACAAAAACAAAGACTCATGGGCTTCAGGGATTGCTAGGGGCCTTGTTCTGGGTCACCCTGGCAAGGGGCATTCCTGGGCTTGGCCCTGGAGCCTGCAGGGTGACCCTCAGTGGTGGCTCCCCCTCTTTGACTCCCGGACCCTTCGTGGAGGGGCTGCTTGCTGAGGTGTCAGAGCGTGTCTGTGGCTTGCACACAGGGGGAGGGCCAGGTGCTCGGATCTGAGCCCCCCCCCCCCCCATTCCCCGCTTGGTCCACTCTGCACCAGAGAAGGCCCCTGCCACGGGGCACAGAGACAGGGCAGGGAGCCGAGGGCTCCCAGGCACCATGTGATCCCATTCCTGCCCCTCCCCTACCAAGCCGGAGGTAACCCTCAGCACCAGTGGGTGTGGCCCCCAAACAGAAGGGGAAGGAGAGGAGGTGCCCATTTTCCTCCCCTCTGGGCGTGGACCACAGCCTCTGCTCGTCCGGGCACTGTGGCTGCAGCCGGGGACTCTGCACCCCTTTGTGCTGGGGGAGCTCAGGCTGGCCAGGAGGCAGGTCTGCGGCCCGACCCCGGCTCTGACTTCCCGGCAGAGGGCTGCCTGGGCATGGGGGCGCAGTGCCCAACCCTGACCCACAGTGGGCAGGCCCAGCTCCCTGAGCGGCCATACCAGGGGCCCACGCCGTGGGCGGGCACACAGGCTGCCATTGTCCAGGCACTGCTGGGCACCCTCGCTTTTGCATAGCCACGTGAAGAATGCCAGGGAGCCAGCCGGGGCCTTGTCCCTGCTGAGGGGGGCAGTGGCGCGGGGGTGGGGGGGAGGCCTGCAGGTCAGGGGGGACCCTGCCCTCCCCCAGTGCGGTCCCGGAAGGTGGCCGTGGGGGCGCGGGGGTAGCGGGCCTGGCAGTGCCAGGCGGCTGGGGACACGGCCTCCTCCCAGACCCCCTCGAAGCCGCAGGCCGGGACGTGAGGGGATTGCTAATGAGGTGGAGGAGAGTTAAACATTCCCCTCTCCCTTGGCCTGGCAGCCTGAACCCCAGGAATGTCTCGGTCCCAGCAGGGGCCGCTGAGCCAGCCAGCCAGGGGATTAGCTGGCGGGCGCCCTCCTCGGCCCGGAAGCCCTCCTGGCTGCCAGCCACCGTGGGGTCTCCTTCTGCCCCTCAAGCTCATAGTCCTGCAAGCTGCTCCCAGGCCCGGCCCCAACTGTTCTTCACACATGGGCTCCCCGCCTCAGCCCGGTCCCCCCATCACGTCTCAGTCGAGACCCCCACTGCCCAGGAGGCCCCGGACCAGGGCAGTCTCGCCAGGACCAAACTCCCCCCCCCAACACACACACACACACACACACACACACACACACACACACACACACACACACGGTTTTCCGGCTCTTGAGCCAGGATCTAACGGGGTTTCCCTGCGCAGAAAAGGGGGCGTGGCAGTGCCGCTGGCTCCTCCCTGCCCTTCCCCCGTGTGGGGGCACCCACCTGGGCATGGCCCCGCCCCCCACCCCAGGGCACTGGGAGGCAGTTTCTGGAACCCTGCCCTGCTTAAGGGCTACTGTGGGCGGGCGCTGGCTCTCCAGCCCCTGGGCCTCCCCCTGCATTCTAGAGCCCCGGCCGCCGCCTGAGCTGCTGGCCGCTGCCTATCCCTCTCGGCTCTGACCCCTCATTCTACCCCACCCTGTCCGGTGGCTCCTGTCCTGCCACCTGGCCATGACCCCAGTCCCTCCAGCGACCCTGGTTGGGCCCTGAGCCCGGGGACGTCCAGTCACAGCCTTGGGCCATGGCCAACTCAGGGCTCCAGCTCCTGGGCTACTTCCTGGCCCTGGGGGGCTGGGTGGGCATCATCGCCAGCACTGTGCTCCCGCAGTGGAAGCAGTCCTCCTACGCGGGCGACGCCATCATCACGGCCGTGGGCCTCTACGAGGGGCTGTGGATGTCCTGCGCCTCCCAGAGCACCGGGCAGGTGCAGTGCAAGCTCTATGACTCGCTGCTGGCGCTGGACGGTAGGCTCCCCTGCGCGGAGGGGGCGGGGGCGGGGGGCCGCCGGTGCCACATGCCAGCCCACGCCCGGGCGGGGCGCATCAGTCCAGAGCCCAGTGCCACCACGCAGCCCCTGAAGTCACGGCTCAGGGTCCTCCTGGTCTAGTGACGGGCCAAGACCTGAGGGAGCTGCGGCAGGCTCAGAGGAGAAAACCTTGAGGATTCTTCCTGCAGCTTCCCCCGACACTGCTCACACTCAACGCCCGCCACCTGGACACCTGGGCGGACACACACGCTCCACATGCATGCATGCAGGCACACGCAGATGCACTCCATGAACATACACGCAGGCACATATACTCCACATGCATGCATGCAGGCACACTCGGGTAGTCACAACTCCACGTATGTACATGCGGTTCCACACATTGACACTCCATGTACATGCACACAGACACACATGCACACGCCCTGTATGTGCCTGTGGGTGCGCGTGCGCACACACACACACACACGCACGCACGCACACATGCACGCATACACACAGATACTTGGGACGGGTCCCTCTCCTCCACCTCCTGATGGTTTGGTGGCTGAACAGACCTCTCGGGCTCTCTCCTGGCTTGGGTGACTCCCTGCGGCCGGGCAGGTGGACTGGCCTCTTTCAGAATGCCACATGCCCTGAGCCGGCCGACTGAGCCAAGCCTGGCCCGAGTGGGTTTCTGCATGCACAGGCTGGTGGGAGGCTGGCTGGAGGCAAGGAGACGGAATGAGTGAGGGGGAAGCCGGTCCCCCTGTCCCAGGGCCAACTTGCTCTTCTGCCTAATGGGAAAGACCCAAAGGGACTGCCTCCAGCCCCCAAGGGAGCCCCCAGCCAGAAAGCGGTCGAGGAGGGAGCCCCAAGTACCCTGGGAGGGGGAACAAGGTTAGGAGTGGAGCTGAGCCACACACACACACACACACACACACACACACACACACACACTCTCTCCGCTCCAGCCCCTCCCATCCCGGGCTCTCCCTGCTTGCCCCCTCCTCATTTCATCTCCGCAGGCCACATCCAGTCTGCCCGCGCACTGATGGTGGTGGCCGTGCTCCTGGGCTTTGTGGCCATGGTGCTCAGCGTCGTGGGCATGAAGTGCACGCGGGTGGCAGACAGCAACCCTGTTGCCAAGGGTCGCGTGGCCATCTCGGGGGGTGTCCTCTTCTTCCTGGCAGGTGAGTGTCCGCCTCCTTCCCTACTCCCTGTCCTGTGGGCGCTGGGGGCCGGAGCGGCGCTGAGCCCCAGTCCGTCCATCCTGTTCCCAGGTCTCTGCACTGTGACGGCCGTGTCGTGGTACGCCACCCTGGTAACCCAGGAGTTCTTCAACCCCACCACCCCTGTCAATGCCCGGTGAGTGCCAGGGGCAGCTGGCCTCTGCCTCTGCCCCGGCCTTCTGGGCCGCTTGGCTTTGTTAAAGAAAACACTGAAGAGGGGAGCGGGAGGATCGGCCCAGGGGCTATCAGAGTGCAATGGGCCCGCAGTGGCCAAGTGCCCAGCCGTGGGTCTAGCTCCTCCTGGGTGGGTCCTGCAGGCTCAATCCCGTCCTGGGGACGCGCAGCTGGTGTCCCTCAGCTATGGGGTGCAGGACAGTGGGGCGGGGCAAGGCCGGGGAGGCTCCGGCTGTGGAGTGCTCAGAGATTTGGGCTGTTTGATGTAAGGCTGAAGATGTGGGGGTTGGGGGGCCTCTGAGGGGGCTCTGTGAAGGGCCTGGACCATCCTGGCTCCTCCACCACCTCTCGGCTCTGTCAGGAACAGAGAATAGGACAGAATCAACTCCAGATGTTCCCACACCTTTGGGGTGGAGGGAGGACAAGAAAGGAAGACCCTGGGAGTGAGAGGCCTGATCCCCTGCACTGGCAGCAGCAGCCACGAAACCCGCCAGACCAGGGGCAGCTTCTCCGGGGGCCAGGCTGGCACTCACCCCCATCTGCAGGTTGCTGGCTGAAGTCCGTGCTGGGCCCAGAACAGCCTTTGTCCCCCTGCCCCAGGCAGCGCAGTTGAGAGTTAGAGGGTCCAGCACAGAGGGGCAGGGGGAGTCCCCAGAAGAGGTGGCATCTGAGCAGGGCTCAGGAGGTGGCCAAGCATGGCAGGTGCAGAGGGGGCCCCCGAGGGAGGCTGCACGGGTGTGGAGAGCCCCCAGTGCCCGGTGGAGGGAGTGGTCTGGGGGCAGCCGGTCTGCTGGAGGCCAGGGCCAGAGGAGGAGGGGCCCGGGACGGGTCCAGCACAGAGGGGCAGGGGGAGTCCCCAGAAGAGGTGGCATCTGAGCAGGGCTCAGGAGGTGGCCAAGCATGGCAGGTGCAGAGGGGGGCCCCCGAGGGAGGCTGCACGGGTGTGGAGAGCCCCCAGTGCCCGGTGGAGGGAGCGGTCTGGGGGCAGCCGGTCTGCTGGGTCTGCTGGGGTCAGGTGGGGAAGGCCAGGGCCGGAGGAGGAGGGGCCCTGGACGCACCCGGTGTGGGGTGGGTGCTGGAGGGAGGCAGGGGGGACGCTCCCCTCTCTCCTGGAGCCCGGGGGCGGGCCTGCCGGGTGACGCCCCCCTCTCCCTCCCTGCAGGTACGAGTTCGGCCCCGCCCTGTTCGTGGGCTGGGCCTCGGCTGGCCTGGCCATGCTGGGCGGCTCCTTCCTCTGCTGCTCCTGCCCGCCGCCGGAGCGAGCCAGCAGCATCCCGCAGCCCTACCGGCCAGGGCCCTCCACGGCCGCCCGAGAGTACGTCTGAGCCGCCCGCCCGCCCGCCCCCCGCGCGCCGCGGGCCCCCGCAGCCCCCCGGGGCGGGGCCGTAAGTGGACAGTGTCCCAAGGACAGCCTCGGCGCTGGGCCGCCCGCCCCCAGCAGCCTCTCTCTGCTGGGACCAGACCCACCCTCCGGGGAGGCTGCCCGGTCACCCTGCCCACTCACTCGGCGGCGCGTCTGGGTCGGCCCAGGGACCAGCTGGGTCCTGCTGCCCAGTGCTCAGGGGGGCTGCGCCCTTCACCCTGGACGGCGGCCGCCGGTCTCCTCCCAGCAGCCGCACCAAGGAGGCAGCGCCCGGATGCCCGCTTCCCACACCAGCTAACGGGTTCAGCGAGACAGAGGGAGGCAGGGCCCTGCCTTCTCTAAGCCCAGCGCCCGCAGATGGTCAGGCCCCCGGGGATGCTGTGCGGGCCCAGACTGGAACCCTCTGGCCACTCCCTGTGCCCGGCCCCAGACCCCCCAAGCCCCTGCCTCCTCCCCCGCTGCCGCTCACCCCACTAACCAGCTCTCTCTCTTTTGACTTTCAGACCAGTTGTTAAGTTGTCTGCCTCCGCCAAGGGCCCCCTGGGGATATAATGTCCAGGTCCCCCACCTGGCAGTGCCCTGCTGCACCTAGGCAGAGAGCCTGGCATTCTGAGGAGTGACTGTCCAGTTGTCCCCGGCGAGACTCGTGGGAGGGACCTGCTCAGAGTGCAGAGCTGGTTCCTGGGGGGTGCGTGAGCTTAAAGGTGGGGAGACCAAGTCCAGCACCCTAAGGCTGAGCACGAGAGAATAGCCCAGTGCCCATACCCCTCCCTGCCCGCCCCTGACACCTGATCCAGCTTCCAGGGGCCTCTGTGCTGTGCGGTCACACCCATCCCTGGGCCAGTTCCTCCAGCTTTGGCTGGCGAGGGAAGCCTATTGTGGGTTCTTGCCAAGTGAGGCAAGGACTGGGGGGAGAACATTAGGCCCTGTCAGACATTTGGAATGTCCAGCCGGAATGAGGCAGACACCCCACTGCTGCCCTCTCCACACCCCATTCCTCTTAGCCAAGGTCCCGCGACATTCCTGCCCAGGTGCCAGACCAGGGAGAGGGCGGCCTGGGCCCCGGAGCTGTGGTCAGCTGGAGGGCCCTGGGTCCTGCACCCCTTTATCTTGGAGATGCAGAGGAAGGGAGGATGGGCCAGCTCCAGACTGGGCCTCCCCTGGCCCCTTCTTGCCCCAGCTGGCTCAGAGCACATGGCTGCTGCCAACCCCCGGGCTGAGATTGCTCTGGGAGCCCCCCTGGAGGGTCTCTAGGGGGCCACTTCTTGGGGCCTATCAGACTAGCCAGAGGGACCTCCTGCACCTACACAACTTGACCAGGGGCCCCTGGGGGCCAGAACTATAGTGTAGGCAGGAGCAGGGGTGCACCTCTGGTCATGGTGGTCTCCCAAGGGCTGATGCCATGTTCACCCCCAGTGGGGGGCCCGGGCAACTGAGTCCAGAAGCTGCCCACTGACCGGGCTGGTGGGCACCCAGGGGGCCTCTGGGAGGGGAATGCTGGGCCTTGCTTCTGCCTTCATGGGGTCTCCACGGGGCAGCAGTGGCTGCTCACTGCCTCGAGATCCCCCTCTGTCCAATAAAGACCCCTTCTTCCTGCAATGAAGTTGTAAAGGCCTTTAGTGACTCAGGGCCCTGAGGTCTCGCCTGTGGCCGACCCAGGGAGTCTGGAACACGAACATGGGCTGAGCAGATGGGGGGGGGGGGGCATCTGTATGATTTGGTCATGAAGCTGATGCCCATTGTCCCATGGAAGCCCAGGCCTTAATAGGAATGTTAGAGGCTGCTTGTCTGGGGTCTCAGGCCAGGCCATGACAGATGAGCTCCAGCTCACACGTGGGTCTGCCTGAATGACCTTCATCAAGGGGCCCGTTCAGCCTGGGAACGGGAGACGGCTGGGAGGATGCAGGGGAGTCTGGGCAGTCACCCCAGGCTCCACGGCTGTCCCTGCTGACTGCCCAGTCTGAGCAGGAGTGGGCAGAGCTGACTCCCAGGGGACGTGCTTCCCAACAGCTGGGACAGAGTCTCAGAACATCCAGGGATCAGCAAAGGTCATAATACAAGCTACCCATATGCGTTACAAACTTTAGAAGTGTCTCCTGAGGTGTTCATGGAGGCTGGGGCGGGGGAAGGTTGGGGCACCCCCGTTGATCCTTAGCTAACTGGGCTGGGCAATTCAATGCGTAGGCCCACTCAGCAGTGCTCAGGGCCTTACTCCTAGTTCTGTGCTCGAGATCAAACTGCTGACTTGCTTGGTTGTCACAAAGTTGAATCCTGGGGCTGGAGACATTACAGCAGGAAAGCACTCGCCTTGCACACAGCCAACCTGGTTTGATCCCCAGCACCACATATGGTCCCCTGAGCCCCACTGGGGGGTGATCCTGGAGAACAGAGGCAGGAGCAAGCATGCCTGGCATGCTTGCAGGAGGACCTAAGATTCAACCCAGCGCTGCATGGTCCCAGAGCAATACCGGGTGCAGCTCAATATGCCCCTGGCTATCCCCTGCAAAACACACACACAAAAATACAAATCCAAAAATCTGAGCCCTGGGGCTGGAGAGACAGCACAGCAGGTAGGGCGTTTGCCTTGCACACGGCAGACCGGGTTCAATTCCCAGCATCCCATATGGTCCCCTGAGCACCGCCAGGAGTAACCCCTTGCATCACCAGATATGACCCCCCCCAAAAAAAGGGCAAAAATCTGAGCCCTGGGCTCACAGGATGGAGCCTGCTACAGAGAGGCGCTGGGCAAGTCAGTGAATACACTGCATATTATGGGAAGCAGGCTTTCCACCGACAGAGGAACGGCTTACGAACATACAGAGGAAGACTAGAACGAATCTTGTGGTTTTCACTGGAATGGAAGGCATTTGGATGAACGTGTGGATTTTTAATGTGCTGATAAATACTGAAGGAGTTGTTGCAATTGTGTCTGCTTGTGGGTGTGCGCATGTGGGCGATGATACATATATACAGCACGTTAGCCCTTGGAAAAGCTGTGATGCTCCAGCAAGCTCGTTTTGTTTTTATTTTGGGTCACACTTGGTGGTGCTTAGGGCTTATTCCTGGCTCTGTGACCAAGGCTCAGGCTCCGTTAGGGCTTGGGGGGGTCGGGGTTCATATGGGATGCCGGGGACCAAATCTGGGTTGGCTGCGTGCAAGGCAAATGCCCTCTCCGCTGTCCTATTGCTTCAGTCCTGCTTTTTGGACCACACCCAGGAGGTGCTCAGGGACGGGGACTCTGGTACTGGTGAATCTTGCTGCCGCAGCCATATACTAAGTAAGAGTTTTAACCTGCTGTTATCTCTCTGGCTCCTGCGAGGTAGGAGTCTGAAACTCTGACAAGATACCAGGACTTGGGCCAGGAGACAGCTCAAGAGAATGAGCACATGCTTCCCAACTAGGAACCCTGTATGCAATCTCTGTTATGGCTCCCCCAGGCACTGCCAGGTACCCTCTGAGTATCACCAGGATCCAAACATGAACGGGAAGAGGTCCCAGGGCTCTGGAACCTGGGAAAATGACCAACCAGAGACCAGGTAGGGAAAATCCAAATCATTTTGGGGTATCTCTGACATTCTAGTGTAAGAAATTATGCCATGCTTAAAGGGTAGAAAAGTCAGATTTATGGGGTTCCCACTGATTTCTAGGGCAGGAGAAGGGGGCTGGACTACACCTGTTGTCCTGGTGTTTCTTGTGTTTTCTTTTTCGGGTTTTGGGGCCATACCTGGCTGTGCTCGGGGGAACAATATGCTGGGATGCAGCAAGGTCAGGTGTATGCAAAGCTTTAACCCAAAAACTCTCGGAAAATCTGAGCACCAATATAAATAATAGTAATCGATTATAAATCAGTGGAAAAAATAATTATCTCATACTGATACGTATAGAAGAAAATCTGTACAGTAAATGTCAATATAAATAAAAACCACTAATTTTTTTTTTCTTTTTGGGTCACACCTGGCAATGCACAGGGGTTACTCCTGGCTTTGCACTCAGGAATTACCCCTGGCGGTGCTCATATGGGATACTGGGAATCGAACCCTGGTTGGCCGTGTGCAAGGCAAACGCCCTACCCACTGTGCTATCATTCCAGCCCCAAAACCACTAAATTTTATAGCAGTGAGTTATAGCAGAGACCTTACACAACCGATGAATTTATTCCTCCAGCAATGAGACAAAATTGTGAGCCTGTGGATACAATGCAGTCTTGTTTAAGTGGTATCCCTGCTCAAGGGGCACCATCTGGGAGCAGAGGTGGCCCAAAGGGCTGAGCACAGGCTTGGCATGCAGGAGGCCCCAAGAGTCATCCCAGCACAGCATGGCCCCTTGAGTGGTGTGCCCCAGAAATAAAATAACGAAGGTCCGGGATCTGACTCTACATACGAGACAAAGGTCCAAACTGAGGATATTCTGAGAGAACAGCTACAAGATCACTGCTCATACTTATACTCACCAAAAGACAGAAAATGACACCAGACTAAAAGAGATTGAAGAGCTGCTGCATCTAAAGGGGTTGCATCCTGGTTGACTATGGAAATTCAGGACATTCTTGGGAAAACCAGTAAGATGTGTCACACCTCTGGTTCAGAGGAGACATCACTCTATTGCATTCTGCGGTAATCTGTATTAACTTTCTGAGTTTAATCATTTATTATTGTTTTGTAGGGGTGACCTTGGTTTTTAGGAAATCCACACTGAGGTACTAAGAGGATAATGAGGCAACAGTAGAAAACAGATACATAGATGATGTAGGATAACAGTGGTGTGTCCTTTCTCCCTTGCTGCTGCAGGGAGTTTAGGTTTATTGGGTTATTGAGTGCTTCGAGGCACTCCCATTCCTTTGTGTTTATCTGTTAGTTATCTGTGCTCTGCTTCCTATTAATCACCTATATCCCCAAGTCAGACTCTGTGACTTGTTAAGGTCAGATCCTTCTAAGGACTCAGGATTTTGTATTTGCAAATGAAATATTGCTTTTCTCTTTCCCTATGTCCTTTGCATAGTTCACTTCAGAGCAATGTCCTTTTTGTATAGACACAGGAAGACAGTTAATGCTATGCTTTTGTAACTTGGGAGCTAATTGACTGAATATTTACTCCTGGGCATCTGTAATATTTCCTCAACAGAAGCCTCAGTTGCACTTAGTTCTTTTAAGTTAAGAGCACGGTCGTGGACAAATTCTGTCATGACCCAGAGAAGTGACTGGAAAAGGACCCTGCTAGGGTTAGGAAGGACTAATCTGGCCTGGGATCTGAGATGTCCTCAGGAGAGCCACCCTTTAAGCTTAATATCTCTCTTACTGTGTCCATACAAAATGACTAGAAAGATTACTAAGAAGTAAATTTAAGGTGACCGTTTAATGGTTATGGACTAAGGAAAGGAGAAATACACCCTTCCACCCTTGGGCAGATCTCCTAGCAGGATGAGATCTCTGTCTTAGAAGAGCTTCCCCAAAGGGCTTTCATATGTTGACTGTGCTCTCACCTATGTGGAATTGCTACCCCTAACCTTTCGAGGTTGGGTTCTTGACTTCCATAGCAAGACTGGGCGAGGGGAGACTGGCATGGGGGACGCAGGAGGTGGGAGTGAGGGAGAGGCAGGGTGAAACTGGAATGGGGTGACAGTGAGACTG